TTCTCTTACTAATATTTAAATAGCTCCATAAACTTTTGCAAATACAGCAAATTTTTTTGTTATTTCACGATCAATGAATGAATGATAAATTTGATTATTTTATTTTTTCTGAAAATCCTTCAAAATTTATCAATTATTAATCAATTATATCTTTGTTTAATCTAATGACAGAAAAAAAATATTTAATAAATGGTATAAAAAAATATAATTTGTATTTCGAGATCAATCTAAATTTCTTATAAACTTAGGCTCTTATCATACATAACAGAAGATTGCAGTGAAATTTATATATAAAAAATCAATATTTGTAATTAATTTTTGATTTTTTTGAAGTTTGATAAATAAATTTTAATTTTAAAATAATAAGATAAAAATTTATCCAATTAGATAATCAGAATTTTTCTTATTAAAATCTTGTCATAAAAGTTAAATATTGTAAAATTTGATTGAAAATAATCATTGATTGATTGATAATTTAGGAAAATTGAATCTAGACTAGAAGATAAAGGATTCAAAAAACATAATGAAAACAAAGAATATTTGATGTAAATAAATTTTAAAATAGAGAAGGATGATCGAAATTCATAAAAATATTGATAATCTTTGAATTGATTTGTAATCAAAATTAGATAAATATTAATAATTAAAAATGTTTGAAAGCTTGAAAAATTGGTTGTTTCATGATGATTAAGGGGATTTTGAGCAATTTAAATAAATGACAAAATAACCAAAATTAAGATTGCCTCCTAATTTTGCTTAATAAATCTTAGACCTAGAATTAGAATTAGAAAATGAAGAGGTTAATTAGAAAATGGTTAATGAATTGTTAGCTTTATATAAAGTAATTTAAGTAAATTAAGGAAGCTAGGCACAGAATATTATGGTTAGAATGATGATAAGAAATATAAAATATTTACTGAAAAAGCAAGTAAGCTTTTAATGAAATCAAATGTATAAAAAGCATTTGAACCAAGCTAAAAACATGAATCAAAGGATGCCATTACAACTGCAAGAGAATTTAATTAAAATAACTCTTTAATGAGATCTATGATAAATCGAGATTTATAAAAGCAAGAAGAAAACATATAATAAAGACGTCAAAACAGAAGAGAGTTTTTATAATCAAAACAGTAGTGATAATAATTTTAACTAATTATATTTAATTTAATTCTAATTATAGAAATTAAGCCACACATGTTAATTATAAAAATTAATATTATAAATCCCAATTAAAAAATCAGAATTAATCAGTTCCCATTGGAAAGTTGTAAAATCAATCTTCAAAGAATATTTGTTTTCATTAATAATTATATCAATAAAATGGACTCAAATAAAAATTTGGCATTAAGAATTACTTTTGGATAAATAAAACATAAATTATTAGTTGATGATAATGAAAAATAGATTAATGAATTAAAGAATCAAATATGCAAATAATTAAGTGAAAATGGAATTGATTTGGAGTAGAATTAAATAGATCTTTAAGATGAGGATGGATTCATACTAAATGATAGTGAAAAAATTTGTAATTTACTAAAAACAAATGATATTGTATAGATAGTCTAAAAGATAGAAATTTAAAATTAAGATTAACATTAATACTAACAAGAACAATAAGTAATTTAAGAACTAAATTAATAAGAGAATCTTGATCAAAATAATGATCCTATTGAGGCAATTGTAGTATTATTTGATACATCAGGTTCAATGGGTGCTACTTTTTTCTAGGATGATTAATTATCAAGAATAGGAGCTGTAAATGCATTTTTCTCAGCATTTGCTGATAAAACATTGACTTTTGAATTTAATCATATAGTAAAATTAGTATGTTTCGAATCTTTTATAGCAGATAAATGTGAATTCACAAATGATTTCAATAAATTTATTAAATTAGTTGATGATGCATCTCCAGGAACTGGAACTAAATGTTATGATGCTATAGGCTATGCAATTGATTAATTAAAAGAAATAAAGAAAAAATATCCAAATATAATATTAAGAATAATTGCTCTAACAGATGGAGAAGATAATGAATCAAAGGAAAACCCATAAAGTTTAATTTCAAGAATTTTTGAAAATTAAATTATTATAGATTCATTTGTTGTAAGTAATGATTGTTAAGGTTTAAAAACACTTACTCATGCTAGTAGTGGTAGATGTTATTGTCCTCAAACTTTAGCTGAAGGTATGTCTTTATTTGAAATTGAAAGTATTTTAAGTGTAAATCATAGAGAATAAAAAGAATATCCTAAATAAATATTAGATTTAAATTAATTAAAAAATAAACCATTTGATACTGAAGGAATGAAAGTTATATCTATGGATGTCTAAAAAATTGCTGTAATGAAAAAAGAAGAAATTTTAAATAAAATATCTTAAATCTAGAATGTTACTCAAAATACATCCTCTACTTCATCGTCTTCTGCAAAAAATTGTGCTGTTCGAATATTAAAAGAACTAGAGCAAATTACTTCATTTGGAGATAAACTGAATTTCAAATGCTATCCCACTGCAAATGATATTAAAACATGGAAAATTTTACTTTATGGCCCTAAAGGAACTGTTTATGAAGATGGATTATACATTTTAAGCTACATCTTCCCTCAAGACTATCCCTTCAAAGCTCCTAAAGTGTAATTTATTACTAAAATGTATCATCCTAATGTCAGTAGAGGAGGATCAATTTGTTTAGATATTCTAATTAATTCTTGGACACCTTTATAAACTACAACCAAAGTACTTGAATCTATTTTAACTATGCTCTAAAATCCTAATACTGATAATGCTTTGGATTGTAATATTGCATCAATTTATCAACTTGAACCAGAATTATTTAAAGAAAATGCTTTAAAAGAAAAATTAGAAGTAGCTTCTCCATCTGAAGATAATCTATTGAAAAATATATTAGGAGATATTGAAGATAATTCTCAAGAATACATAGACACTAAAAAAGAATTATTATCTTGGTTGCAATATTAAAAAAATAAATGAATATTGTCTTATCTATATACCATATAAATAAATTTAATATTAAATTATTCAAATTAAAAACATCAACTTCAATTTTTGTCTATAAGTATATAGATTATTATAAATAAGAAAGATACAAAAGATCAATCAATATAAGTATGATTATCACTATATTATTAGATAATAAATATTAATGATTCCTATCAACGTTATTTATTTAAATGAAAAAATACTTATACTTATCAATTTTATTCTAAATATTTTAACATGTGATCTTTAATATATAAAATTAACAACCTCAATATTTAGCATAAAGGTTTTCAATAAATAATTTGAATATTATCAATCAATTTAAACTTATATTTACTTTTAAATTAAATTCAAAAGAATATATGATTTTGTGATTATAAATATTAGTAATAAATTGAGATGAGAACTTTAGCTAATTATATAAATGAGGAGAATCATAGATTTTAATAATAAATGATGAAAATAAAATTTTCACTGATCTCTTCATAATAATCAAATAAATTTATAACTATTTTAGGGAAATATTTTAATTATTATTTTAGCTATGATTTTTAGATTGAGGCTACTAAATGCTTTTAGAATGTAGCCATAAAAATTTTCACATAATGATGAATTAAATTTCGTAATAATATTTAAAACATTTTGCTTTTGCTAACAATAATTTATCAGATCTTAAGAATTTTTGTTAAATTGAAATAAACTATAATTATAAATAGAATTTCTTCAAATAGAGATTATAATTAAACGTATAATATTCGATAAAAATTTTAAAGTTGAGAAGCTTAATTGAATTTTCAAATGAGTTTTGATTGGATAAATATAGAAAGAAGTTCAATAATCATATATTAATTTTGTATTTTTCTTCATTTTAAATGATATATTTGAAAAACTTGAATTTAATTTGTATAAATTCTTTTGAAAAACCAAGAAATAATATATTGTACAAAATTTTATCTAAAAAATATTTTATTAAGATCGTATTGAAGATTTTATTAATCTTTTGCAACGACAACAATTTGAAAATTCTCTGTTTTTGATAAAATTTTTTATTTTATAAATTTATTTGGAAGAAGTATCCTGTTTTACATAATAAGATTTGTTATAATTTTTAAGTTTATAAACAAAAATTTTTAAATCAATTTGTTGCTACATAGCCAATTAAGAAACAAATTAGAGCAGAAAAAAAAATATGTTAAACACCTACATATATTTACCCTTAATTTTGATTGGTTTCTTATGTTAACAGTTAAGTTTTTTATTTTTCAATATTTGAAAGTTGTTCCTATTAGTTATTGAATTCTATTTATAATTAATGTATTCTTTGCTTTAATTTTTAGACTTATGGATCCTCCTCTAATTCTTTTTCTTATTAATTATGAATTTTTGGTTGTTATGGTTAATGTGGATAAGATTAGGGTTTTGGGGGAGGATAATCTAATTATAAATTATTTTATGAATTTGATGATTATTTAGATGGAGTTTATTTAACTTATTAGAAAGTTGTAGATGTAAGAAATCTTTATTCAGAAGCAGAAACTCTACTAATACTTTAGGGTTATTCAGAATTCGTATATGAGTTTCTAATTTGTTATTGTTTGATTTGTTCATTTTTTTTTAATAAAGCATTTTATTCATAAGTGAATTCTTATTAATGATAAATACTTTCCTCAATGTTTTTATTCAAGGATATTGATTGATTAATAATGTTTGACTATTTAGTCAATTAATTTTAATCGATAGTAATAATTTCTATTTTAATTTTTTGAACAAAATAGCTATTAGAATAAGAATCAAAATAAGTTGCAAGAGATTTAACGTCTGTCTTATTAAAATTTTAATCAGTCAAATCCACAGTCAGAATTTATAGTTTTGCATTAGCTAACATTACAATAGAATATAAGTACCTTAGAATTTTTAGCATTTGACTGTAATTTTAAAATACTATCCTGTAAATGATCCTATATGTGGCATAACTTAAATATCTTATGTATTATTTGTTCTGATTTTGAAGGCACAATAGCTAAGATTAAATAATTTAATAACTTGTTTGGTTTATTGTTACATAGTGTGAGTGTACCTATGAATTATCCATCAATTTTAAAGCATTCTAGTCTTTCTCCTTGTGGAAGAGTGATCATAAATTAAATTAAACAAAAATAAAAATTTCAATTTTGGTTTTATAATCATTACTCAATAATTTTAAAATCACTTGTCGTTCTACGGCTATTTCTTCTGCTTAAATCATTAAATTAATTTTTGAGAATTTCTAATTTAGCTTATTCTCTCTTGTTTTTGTATTCGCTCACCAAGGATGAATGATTTTATTAAGGCAGTGGCATAAAACTTTTAAAATTGCTATAACATAATCTTTGAATTTCATTTTCTTATATTTTTTTTTGTTTAAGATCTGGATCTTCAGCTTCATTATAATATTCAGTCTTAAAGACTTTAAGTGTGTTATTATTAACTAACTCATCACTATGAATAACAACATCTTTGTTTTTGTTATTTTTATTATCTTTAATCATTTTAGCCACTTTATTTTAATCTAATTCTAATAATTAGATGTCAGCATTAGCAAAAACATGTTAAGCATATCCTCCGAAAATAAGTATTTTAGAATCTATAGATACACTTGAATGTCTACATTTACCATGTTTTCTATTTAAATGGAAATGATTACAATTATTAGATCTACTAAACCTAAGACCATTAGAATTGTTATATTTGTAATACAAATATATCATTAAGTATATTTCCTTATTTAGAATCATTTCTACCTCCATAAATGATAATAACATTAGTTTATCTAAAATAATTCATAGAATGAGAATATCGAGCTAATGGAGGTTATCCCTAATTAACAAATTTAGAATACTTTAGTTTTGATTTTAGTAATTTTGATAGGTTTGAATCCAAATTAAATAATTCTAAGATCATTAACAGCTTCTCCATTTTATAATCTACCTCCAAAAACATAAATGCCTTCAGAAGTAATAGGTAAAAAGGATTTTCCCTTCTTTTTAACCCATTCATAACTGAAATATGGATTTTCCATTTTGACTTCACTTTTAAACATGGCTAAGGAAGTTGCATCAGAAACTCCATCTAATCCAGGTGAATTTTCAATTTGAAATGATGTCCTAATATTATAATATATAAGAAAATACCATTTACAGGATTCTAAATTAAGTCCAGCTACATCTGTTAATACTTTTCCATAAGAATTGATACCTCCATAAACAATGAAATATTTTCCAACTACTTCTGCACAATGATTTCGTCTTCCTTCAACTATATCTCCATAAGGTTTAAGTTAAATCCATGTTTTATCACTTGGAGTAAATATACGAACATCTCCATAACATTCTCTCATTTTCATAGCATTATTATATTTTTTTTCACCTCCATAAATTATTAATTATTATTTATAAAGTGTAGCTGTATGGCCAAATCTACCTTCTAACGGAACATCACCTACTCCTGTTCCTATATCTTTCCATACCCATGTTTATGTATTCAAAGTTACAAAAGTCTTAAATAAATCATTTCCTATTCCACCATACATAATACATCTATTCAAATTTTAAATATAAGTAACTGTACATCCTTCACGAATTGGTGGTTTCCAATCTGATATTTATATATGAAACCAAAAAAACTTTAAATTTGTTGTAATCACTTCTTAGGATAATGATGGTGAAGAACATTCTTCTTACTATTAACCTACATCTTCAGTATCATTATGATTTATCTTCAAATGAACTAACTTTATTTTCTATTATTCTTTTTATTCTTATTTTTGTATTATTGAATCTGCTACTTCTTTTACAGTCATATTCCATTTCTATTCAATTCGATTCTTGAACTTCAGTGCTTAACTATGATTAAATTGAAGTCTATTCTTTAATTATAATGGACTATTCAGACTATTTACCAATTTATCCGCTTATGTTAACCAACTTGAATTAGTCCTCATCATCTCATTAAATGTTCGAAAACCTGTATCATCCGATTAAGTTTATAAAAATATTAATTTGCATTCCCCCTTTGAAATTATATCATCTACAGGAGGCATTTACAATTATTATGGCTATTTTACCATTGAGATAGAAGACTCAGTTTTTAATACTCGAGATTTTTAATGAGTCCTTGATCCCTTCTATGCTGAATCATCTCTTCCTTCTTTAAGTTCTTTTAATTTTAGAGAATATTAAATTATTAGACGCTTCCTTTTTTGAGAATCCATATTTATTATTTACTATAATATTAAATCATTTTAAAGCTTAATCTTAAACAATATCTCACATTAACCTATACTAAATTCATAAAAAATCTAATTTTCATTTTATTTTTTTCTCTGTCTCATCTTCAACTTAGTGGATTTAAAGAAAAAAATCCAGATACATTCCTATTGGGATTATTTATTTTTATTTTTTTAACAATAAAGTTTATAATTAAAATAGATTATTTGATAGCGTCAGATATATAATTTAATAATTTCGAATGAATATTATTCTCATAAAATTTAACAATATTCACTATCATCTAATAAGCTTCTCTCAAAGTCTTCATATTCTTTGCAACAATTCTAATGATAATTTTATTTATAATAAATAATAATACATCCTGGATTGGATTCTTAATCAGTGATTAAATTTAGAAACAAATAACAAGTATATGGATAAAAATTAGTTTTCATATTTAATAAATGGCTTAGAATTTCTCTATTGTATTTGGGACACTGTTTTAAGTGAAAAGGGAATATAAACTTCATTCAAATGTTGATTTTTGTAATTTTATTTAATTTAGCTTAAATTTGTATTCAAACTTATTTTAACAATCAATATATTCAAATTGATTGAAAATTGAATCAGAAAATTATTTAACAATTTTAATCCTTTAGGTAGGATGGATGTACTTTACAACTTTTCTTAATATGAGTAATATTAAATAGAAGTTTTTGTTTGTTTACATATTTATTGTCATATTAAAAACAGGAATATATTTTGAGTTATTGTATATTCTATAGAAAATCTAATTAATTCTTAATTATTTGATTTAAAATTGTTTTAGTTTATTCAATTTTCGAGTAATTATGTCAATCTATTAAAATAGAATAGTAATTAGTAATTTCTTCATATAATTTAGTAAATTTTGATCAAAATTAATCTACGAATCATGAATATCTTAGCATATTTTATCTTTTGATTTATCTTTAATTATCCTAATAACTAGTATGCCTCTACTCTTCATTATGTATTTAAGTTATTTGTAACTGTAAAAGCATTAATAAGAAATAAACCAAAATCTACATAACATTTATAATTTAATGATAGTTCTAGATTAACCTAAATAATTTAATCCTAAGTATATGATGAAGTAAATTTATAATTATGTTTAACGTTTTATTAGAAAAGATTTAGACCAAATATTTGGAATTCAATTCTAATCTCATTTGAATGAAAAAAGATATCTTTAACCTATTTCAATTTAAATTAAGAAAAAAATTTATTTTATAAGGGAAGTATTGAACTTAATCTAAAATTAATAATTTAAATAAAAATATGTAAGGTAGCATTAAAGAAACTTATTATTTCCTTAATGGAAATTTAGATGCTTAAATTAAAGAAAATAAAATAAAATTCAAAAATTTTGAGAAATATCATTCAAACTAATTAAGCAAATCAATTTCAACAAGTTGGTGATCATTTTCCATATCATAATTTTGATATCTTGTATACATTTTCATAAAAAATCGTAACTAATAAATCTGCAAAAATGACTTAAAAAGGGATCACAAAAACTCTTGAACTAACCTAGGAATACATATATTTTTTTTGGTTTTCAAAATTATATAAAGGAGGAATAAAAAAAGTTTATGCATTTTTAATTCTTTACTAAATAACTTAAATAAAAGTAATTGACCATATTAAAATAAGGTCAATTCTCTTACCAGATTTTAGACATGATGATACTGTTAAGATTTGATTTTAATGAAAACATCTAATTTTGAATAAATAATCCAGCTTAAATGAAGAAGATTATTTAGTTTTAAGAACAATTTATTAAAGCTTCTTTAAATTATAAATAACTGAAAAAAAATTCTATTTTTATATCTGATATTTCTAAATATTTTTTATTAATGTTTTTTTAGTAATTTATACCTATAATTAAAAATAAGTATAGTTTTAAAACTCAGTGAAGAAAGTTGAATGTGATATGATGTAAACAAGAATGAGTTCTTCTAAATAGTGATTCATTGGCCTCATTATGTTATTTTGTTATCTATTTTTGATGTTCAAAATTATAATTTAGTTGAAAATAAAAAAATATGTATTCATGCTTTGGATCCATTAAAAAGTAGAGTACATAAATTTTAAATAAAAGAAAAAAAACTAAGAATGCAGATTCTAAAAATTTTTTATTGTGTTATATAATAAAAGCTTAAGAATAATTTTGTTTTAAAAAAAATATTAATTAATGCGTAGTTTAGTAGTGTTGTTTTTTTATATGTCGTAAGAATGTCTTTGAATTTGGATGAAAATAATTAAAACATTATAACTTAAAAATATTATCGTTTTGAGGCAACTTATAATTAATGATCACCCAAATAAATGAAAGCGACCCTCTAAAATAAGAAAATAAGTAGTAGAATGATCCTGAAGTTTCTTATATATAGTTGTACAGGTTTGCTTCTAAAGTTGATTATGGTCTAATGTTTCTCAGTATGATTGGAGCTATTGGAAATGGATTATCTATGCCAATATATTCAATAATTTTTGGTGATCTCACTGATTCTTATGCATATGATGACGACGACACCAAAATAAAAAAGGCTGGATTCAACACATTGTAAATATTTTATGGAAATATTAGATACATGTTGATTTTAGGAGTAGGTACACTATTAGTAACATTTTTGATGTATGCGACATTTTCTATAAGTACAGAAAATCAAACAAAAAGATTAAGGAAATGTTATCTTAGCTCTCTCTTAAAAAAGTAAGTTATGTGGTATGATTAAATAAACACGAATGCTTTAAATTAGAAAATAAACAATGAAATATCTTCTATTTCTGATGCTATTGGAGAAAAGACTATGACCTTTACTTTTTCATTTGCTGCATTTATAAGCGGTTTCTTGGTTGGGTATATAAAGTATAAATTGATTTAATAAATTTTAGAGGTTGGAAATTAGCTTTAGTAATTACATCAGCCTTACCACTCTTAGCAATAACAATAGCATTAATAGGTTTTTCTGCATCTTGGAGGGAATAGTTTACATTAAAATCTGATATTGATTCATCAGCTGTGGTTGAGGAAACATTAAGTTAAATCAAAACAGTAAAAATGCTTGATGGAGAAGATTTCGAGTATCAAAGGTTTAAGAAGATCATATAACATTCATCAAAGACTATAATTAAATTTGGATTATATTATGGTTTATCATTTGGATCCATGTAGGGATTTCAACAATGGACTTATGCATTAGGTATATTTTATAGTGGATAATTAGTATCAAATTAAGTAATAATAAATATTAATATTTTAATAGGTTGATATAAATTATACAGGTCCCATATATACATCAGGTAGTATTTGTACAGTATTCTTTGCAATTTTAATGGGAAGCTTTTCATTAGGATAGATTGGCCCTTGTTTGTAAAGTTTTGCTAGGGGGAAATTGGCTGCTAAAGAAGTTTTTAAGATTTTAGATGAAAAACAAATTAAAGAGTAGAATTATGAAACAATAAATAACGATAGTTTAAATGGTTAAATTTAGTTTAGAAATGTTTCATTCACATATCCAACAAAATAAGAAGTTTAAGTATTAAAATAAGTGAGTTTCTCAATTCCATAAGGAAAGAAAATAGCATTTGTTGGAGAAAGTGGATCTGGAAAGTCTACTATTGCTTAATTATTACTTAAATTTTATGAGATAGATAGTGGTACAATTTTGATAGGTGAAGATGAAATACCTTTGAGTTAGATAGGAAAAGAGTAGTTTAGATAGAAAGTTGCTATTGTTTCTTAAGAACCTGCTCTATTTGATACAACAATAAGAGAAAACTTAAAATTAGGAAATAAAAATTGTAGTGATGAAGAGTTAATAGAAATGTTAATATCAATGAATGCATCAGAATTAATAGAGCATTTAGATACAAATGTAGGAATTAATGGAAATTAATTTAGTGGAGGTTAAAAATAGAGAATTGCAATAGCTAGAGCATTGTTATAAAAACCAGAAATTTTGATTTTGGATGAAGCGACTAGTGCATTAGATAGAACAAATGAATATCAAATAACGAAAACAATAGATGAGTAATTTACAAATTTAACCAGAATTGTTATTGCTCATCGTTTAAGTACTATTTAAGATAGTGATTTAATAATTGTATTTTAATAAGGATAGATTGTAGGATAAGGTACACATACAGAGTTATTGTTGAATTGTTAATAATATGCTTATTTGATTTCAAAATAATAAACAAAAGAAGATGCCGTTATGTTACCAACTTAAGTGAGTATAGAAATTGAATCAGTTAAAAAGAGAACAGATAGAACACCCAAGAGGACATAAATTTTTGATAATTATCAATCTGAAAAATCTAAGATTAGATTGATAGATACATAAAATGAAATTATTAAGTTGTCAATAGTTAGATAGGAAACATCATAAAAATAAGATAAAGTAGAAATGAATGAAAAATCATTTATGTAGACTTTGAAAGATCTAATTTTACTTAACTATAAAGAAATCCATTATTTAATTATTGGATGTATAGCAGCCTGTGTTAATGGATCAATTTATCCATTATTTTCTCAGGTGATAGCAGAAGTGATTGAAGCCCTTTTAATTAATAATCCTCAATTCAATATAGAAAATAGCACACCTGATTAGATACAATATAGAGTAGATGCTTTAAAAGAATCGATATTAAAATGCGAAACTAACTTATTTATTTTAGGATTTGTATACTTTATTTCAACAACAATAGAATGCTTTTGTTTTAGTGTTTATTCTGAAAGGTTGACAATTAGAATGAAATTAGAAATGTTTCATAAATACTTACGATTACCTGTAGGATTTTATGATAATCCAAATAATAATGTAGGATTTTTGACTACTCGAGTTAATACAGATTCAAGAACAGTATAATAACTCTTTTAAAATATTGTTGGATTTAAGTGTTAATATTATGCAGCTATTTTTGTAGGATTCACTTTAGCATTTGTTTCTTCCTGGAAATTAACCTTATTAGCAATAGGAATAGCTCCATTATCTTATTTAGGGAGTAAATTAAGTTCAAAGTATGTTGTAGGTTCATAATAATCATTTTGTGAATAAGTATATGTAACAAGTAACAGAATATTAATGGAAACCTTAACAAATATACGTACTGTGTATTCATTAAGAGCTGAGAATGTTTTGGTTGAATAATATACTAAACTTTTAGAATAGCCAAGTAAATAAGCTAAAAAACTTGGAGCTTGGATTGGGGTTAGTTCAGGATATGCATAGATGAAACCATTTTTAGTTAATGGATATCTTTTTTTTATGGGAACTCTTCTACTTTATTATGATGATCTACCTGTACTAGGAATCTATTAGACTATTTTAGCAATTATATTTGCAGTTGTTGGAGGTGCCAAAGATATATATTTTCAATCTGATAATAATAAGGCTAAATAAGCAATTAACTATTATTTTAATTTATTAGATGTTGAGGATGAATTGTAAAAAGAGGATAAATTAAAATCATAAAAATTGAAAGTACCTATTCTAGGAAATTTGGAATTCAAAGATGTTACTTTTAGTTATCCACAGAGACCAAATATATTTGTACTCAACAACTTAAATCTCAGAATTGATGCGTGTACTACTGTTGGCTTTGTTGGTTCTTCTGGATGTGGTAAATCAACATTGTTTTAACTTTTAATGAGATTCTATGATGTTGATTCTGGAGATATTTTATTAGATGGTAAATCTATTTACGATTTTGATTTAAAATATTTAAGGTAACATTTTGCAATTGTTTAACAAGAACCATAATTATTTAATGAAACAATTTCATACAATATTCAATATAATATCAAAAGTATAACATAAGAAGATATTGAGAATGCAGCTAAACTTTCACATGCTTATGACTTTATAATGCAAGAAGATTTTGGAGGTTTTTAAAAAAAGGTAGGCAGTAAAGGAAGTTTGATTTCAGGTGGATAAAAATAAAGAATTGCCATTTCAAGAGCAGTTCTAAGAAATTCAAGTGTATTTTTATTTGATGAAGCTACAAGTGCATTAGATTCTAATGTTGAATCAATGGTTTAAAAATAATTAGAGGAATATTTGATTGGAAAAACAGCCATTGTAATAGCTCACAGAATATCAACTATTAAGGTATATAATTCGAATATTATTTTAGAACTGTAAAGTTATATATGTTTTTGATAAAGGTTAGGTAATTGAATAAGGAGATTATAATTATCTTGTAAGTTAAAGGGGCCATTTTTACAATCTCGAATAGGGACTTCTTAATTAATATTAAGAGAATGAGATTAGCTTCTAATAGGATGATGTTAAAGCATGAGTATATTAATTATTTTCAAATTAATTAAATTTATAATCATTTACTATGATCAATTCCTTTAAAATATTTATTTCTTATGTAATCTTTAACTTCTTCTAAAACTCCTTCATTTTCAAAATCATGAATTGAAAAATCATATTTATTTTAGATTTATCTAATATTCTTGTTGACTATATCATCAACTATCATTTTATCATCTTCAGGTAATGGCTGTTTATTCCAAATAGCAGGTTTCTCGTAAGTTGGAGCATTATTTAATACAGATAGTAATTCATGAACTTCTCCTAATTCTTAATGATATATAACAGTTATATTTATACCTTAAATCAATTACTTTCGATTCTATTCAACAGTTGGTTGTGATTATAAGAATGTGGCATAAGTCTTATAATATTCCATATGTAATCTTTAAAAACTTTCAACTTATTTTGAACCCTATAATCTTGTATTTTAATTAAATTATTCAACCAGATCTTTTATTTCGGTCGGATTAGGTTTTTTATAAATGTTTTTTGCTTATTCAACATATCTTTTCCCATAATTATCAATTCTTGGTTTTCTAACATCTACTTAATTTAAATCAATCTTTATGTCAGGTTCTTTAACCTAAATAAAAAATCCATTTTACCTATCCCTCATCAAAAATCTCTTTAATTTACTAAAACACTATAGCATTTCTTTCTAAAAGCATAGTATTAATTTCTTTCATATCCATTGCTTCTATGATTTTAAACTCTAGTTATTTCAAATGTAATTCCTCTTGCTTTTTTCTAACATCCTACCTAACTTTATCCATTTAAGTTTATTTCATTCTTTCTTATTCATTATTTTCAAAAACACCAGAGCTTTTGATAGTTTGATTAAAATTTTATGTTTAATTTGGTTTTTGGGAGGAATTGGGTCTTCGCATTTTCAATTATAAAATATTAAAAAAATTGATAAAATTAATTAATAAAAAATTCAAAATATATGTTGAATGTTTTAGTATTATTATGATGGACAACCTTTCTCTTATATAATTTTTAGAATCAATGTCTTTTCGATTCAAGTATTCTCAGCTAAACATAACATAGAAAGTTATTAGCCGATAGGTGGTTGATTAAATATTTCATATTTGAAACCTTTTTGATTCCAATAACTCATTCTCAATTTATTTTTAATATTTCTATTAATAATCCCCAAAATCTCAGATCTATTTTCATTAAACAACTTAAATTATATCAATTCTCTTGGTATTTAATTATATATAATTATTCAAGAATTTGGTTTATTACTGTAAAGCTTATTCACTATTTCCTACATTTCTGTTTTTAATTTTGAAAATTCCCATTATTCATCTATATCCTATACTTCTTCAGCTGGTCTCAAAACTTATGTTAAAATACTAAAATCTATGTCATCTGCCTAATTTTAAATTCATATTTATACTGGTTAAGGCAAAGATGATATTTTTGCTAAATTCTAGAGTTCATTTATATTCTATAATTTTTATCCCAAAACAACTCCAGCATCTGATACCTAATTTTAAGGTTTCTTCTCTTCTTCAGCATCAGGAATATATTAAATATCATCTGCTTTTCCTGCTGTTTCCCAAATATTCAACTTCTTTTCTACACGACTTAATCTATTTATACATCTTACTTATTTGTATTCAATTTCACATTGTTTCCTGAAAATCCCCAACCTTATTTAGCCATTTTAGTATTATTTATATTAATTTTATAATAAATTTTATTCTTTCAAATTATTTATCTAAATCTTAACAGTTATATTAAAAAAATCAGACTTATATAAGAGATACATAAAAAAATTCAGATTTATTGAATCACACTTTTAAGATCCATTCTCAATAAATTAGTAAATTCACCGTCAGTTACAAAATCTTTAATAGAATCAATGTCTAATTCTACTTGATCATTCTCATGGATTATAAAGGTACTTATAATCCTTTTAAAATTCGTTATTAAAAATTTTATTGATTTCTCCTCCAATTTCCCAATCATATAAAATTTATTTTAACATAATATTCCAAAATATTTTTTTAATTTTCTTTACAATTCAATTGTTACTTCCTCTTATTCTATTTTACCATTATGTATTCTATTGTAATTAATTATCATCTTTCTAATGGTTTAATAATTAAATATTTTATTTTAGATTATCTTTACTTGATCTTCATCTTTTTCTTCATAGTAAACAACACAGGTTTCATTGTTAGATTAAATTATAAAAGACTAATAATATATGTTTTTTATACTCTATTCAATAGATTTTAAGCAAACTAAACTAATTGATCCCCTTATATGGATTTTGGTATATCAATTTATGATGGCTAAGTTTTGCGATTATCACTTGCAATTATGATTTTTTTATGCACAGAGTCGTATATACCATTTAATAATCCAAATCCTATAAATTCAAATGCATTTTCTGGTTTTAATAACTTAAATATTTTAGCTTTAAATTATTCATATATAGTTACATTATAAATTTTATGCCAGTATTCTATGTTGTGGCTCTTGAAGTAAATAAATACCTTTTTCTTCAGAATATTTTAAATTATTAAGAACCCTAAAAGAAATTCTATTTACAAACTAGCTATAAATTTCATTTTTGAATGTATATGAATTTCTTTATTAAGTACTTTTTGTTTCTATTGCTAAAAATATTACTTATTTTCTAGATCCTACATATAAACTTCCCTCAATATTTGATTTAGCTAATTTAAATGTTATATGTCTTCTATAATGATCAAATTTAAATTTCTTCTAAAGTTTAATTACTGCTTTTTCATGAGCTTTTGTATAAACTTTTAAAACATTTTTTTAATGCCAATTCACCAAATAACCTTTCAAATATTTTTAAGGTTTTTTAAGTGTTTTCTTAACATTTTCAACTTTAAAGTAAATAGATTTTACTTAAAAATCTTCAGCTTTAGCTTAAAATAACTCTTATGCCTTGTTAATAAAGATGTTGATCTAAATCAGTGATCCATCGCATTTATTAATTCCTGTAATTGTTCCTACTTTTTCAAAAGTATAATTATTTGTTAGTGACACTAGTAAAAAATATTGAAAAATATCATACTTTCCTCTTCTGAACTTTAACTAATATCATCTCTCATTAAATCCGGCAATTGCAGACTTACTTATTTCCCATACATTTTCTTTTCATCATTAGGAATCTCTTAAGTTTAGGTTTAGTGCTTTTGTTCTATAGATGTTTAACTATCAATTTACGATTGAGATTTTTAACTTTAGCAATCAGATTTCTCACCAACTTCAAGATTATTCTGTGATATTTCATTTTTAGATGTTTAATTATGAGTTCCATTAAAAACTTAATTGTTTTTATTTCTACTTTCTCCAACTTGATTTTCATTAACTTCCAATTCTTTCTTTTCTTCTTCATCTTCTTCTATAATTGTGTTATTTGCTGATACTTTTTCTTTATTTCCATTATTTTGGAAAATTGTTAATTATTAATTGGAACTTTCTGTTTCAACAATATTCAAAGATCCTACCATTGAATTATTACCACTTAATTAATTATATTAAAGTGTAAAATCTAAATTTTGATTTGTTTCAATCTATTAATTATTTTATTTCTATTTTAAATTAACTTCTTCATTTTTATCAAATTCTTATTCTGATAACAACCCTTGGGATGAAAATATATTATTATTGAATTGTCCAGTTTGATTGATTCTTTCATCACCAGAGTTTTCCTTTTCTGCATATCCATCACTATTTTAATTTTGTTCTTCTTCATTTAATTCTTATTTTACAGATTCAACTTAGCTATTTGAGTTCTTTTTGATATACTCTTCTTCATCAATCTATTCTTAAACTAATGGAACATCTTGAAAAGGTTCTACCTTAGAAAAGATTTAATCTGGAGTAGTGTGAGCAGCCTTATTAACTACAATTGAATCTGAATTAAATTATTATATATCTGCAAGAGTAACAGGAGTATTATAATTTTGTTAATTATCTTCCAATTTAGATTATATTTATTCAAATTTTGATAAATTAAAATCAAATCTAATTTGATTCTCACTATTTTTTAATTTAAATTAGATGTAATGATCAATTGAATTAAGAATTAGTTAAGAAGAGTTCATAGTAATAAATGGTAGCAATTCATCTAAAAATTATATAATTTATTCTTAGTTTACTTAAAAGTTAGAACTTAAACTTAAAATGAAGATATGGTTCAATTTTTAGGATATATCATTACTTTTTCTACTTGATTTTCTTAAGGTGTATAAATCATAGAATATCAAATCAATTTATGATATTTGATTTACATTCCAAGCTATAAACAAGTAACCATTATGAATCAAATCATTTTGATCTTTAATTTTAATATAAGTATGTTCAAGTGATTATTAATACTTAGATCTTATTTTTTAAAGTCTTAATTTCATATTTTAATTGCTAGATTTCCAAAATTTTTAAATAGAAATAATATTTTAAAGTTTTTACTCTTCATCAAGTTTTTGAGCTTTTTATTTAATGATATCTTCAACATTATTTTCTACAATTAATTAATTTTATTATTAATTAACTTCATTAATATCTTCAACAATTTCTTCGAGATCATCAATCTGTTTGCAGGATATATTTTATTAACCAAAATTATTTTTACTTGAAGATTCTTAATCATAATCTAATTTTTTAGTAAAACTTTGTAATGTTTCATCTTGTGTCATAGAAGATCTTTTTTTATCATAATCTTAATTGATTTCATTTTTTATATTTTTATCAGCAGATTTTTCTTGTGTCAAATATTATTCCTCCTCGATATCATTTGATTCTTTATTATTAAGAGTTTAAACAGCAACAAGAGGTTATGGTTCACTATCATCTAATTATTCTTGGATAAAAGGATCAGTATTAAATATTTATTTTTATTATTCAAATGATTTCTTGATTTCCCTGGATGTTTATGGAACATTCTTTTATTGTTTTTGTTATTGAATTTATTAATTCATATAACGAAAAGCTTCTAATCTTTATAGTTCTTTTTATTTTTAATCTTAAATAAGTTTTAATTCTTCTTGCTCTTTTTAAGCTAACTAATTATATAGTGAATTATATTTACGATTCTTAGGTTTTCTATGTCATTTTATAAAGCTTTTGCTTTTTCAGCAATTTCGGTGTCTGTCTTTAAATTCTCTTCACTAAGTTAATTTAAAGTTCTATTAGTCGCTGACATTTACTTTTTAATAGTAAATGCTTCCTTTTTGGTAATTTCAAAAGCTTTTAATTTTTATGTTTAATTCAAATTCATAATAGCTGATTAAGGTCTTTAGGAATTTACCATTCTTTTAGTTTCTGATTAAAATAATCTATCAGTTACTTTTTTAGTAATGTCTGTTGGTTTGTTTCTTAAGACACTTTGTGCATATTGACTTGTAACATTAGCTCTAATTTAAAATTTATGATTTAAAGAGGTAATAGCAATTTTTTATGCTTCAGCTATAGCTAATTATCTAGCAAATTCTTCATAAATAGCTTTCAATTGAATTGTTAGGTAATGATGTATTCCTAGATTATCTTCAGCAACTTTAAAAGCTGATGCATATGCTTGCAAAGCAAATTAATATTTTTAGAAATGTTATTCTTAAACTCCCACATTATAAAAGGATATAGCCAATGCACTAACACAACGTTGAAATTTAAAATTCTGCATAGAAACATGATTCTTGATATAATATTGATATTCTTTATGACTTTCTGTAACTGCTTTCTTTGCATTCTCTAAAGCTCCTTCATGTCTTTATATTAATATACAATTATATATACTCCTCGACTAATGATAATACGACAGATAAATTCAGATGTGTCACAGCAACTTCTTTTAAGTTATATTTTCTTATAACTGCCAAAGCACATTCTAATTCCTTTAATGCTTTTTCCAATTATCCAACTCTTCTATAGTAGCAACCTAATCCATTGAGAATTTGAACTCTCAAATACCCTTGTTATTTTGGTGATAATCCTTTAAACATTTAATCGCATCCCAATAATAGCAATAAGGCAGATGCAGGATCATTTTCAAGAATAGACATTGCACTAGAACATATCAGTAAAGTAACTTTTGTAATTACTTAAACCTGTGATTGTTACCCTAGATATTTTTTTCCGTCTGCTATCACTAGAATTAATTTAGTATTGAAGTGTACTTTAATTCAAAAGAAGAATTGCTTAATTCACTTGTCGGTTGTTAATCAACTCTAAGGCTTCATTTAATATTGGATCATCATGACAATCTAATTCCTATCCTATTTGATTGATATCCCAAATTGCATTTATTGTATTGTTTTACATTGAAGGCATTACAGACATTCTTCCATTTGAATGTCCTGATGCATTTGATATTGATCTTGTTTGTAGTTTTTGTTAAGGTTATTTGATAAACATTAAATCAATGAATCAATAATTGAATTAATTATTCATTCGAATTCCAAAAAATTTAATGATAACCTTAGTAGATTTGAATAATTATGATATAATAATAATTGATCCAAATTAATCATATATTTTATTCTAGAAATAAATATAGGAAATTATAAATAAAACTCATTTCAAGATAACTGCAGCATTATCTATAAAAATTCTTCTTAAGTAATTTAACCATCTCCATTTTAATCTAATTACTTTTAAAGATTTTCTAATTTTTCCTTAGGTATCTACATATCTCTCAATAGTTTCTTAACTTCCTATTTACTTAACTATCCACTATGATCTCTATCAATTTATTAAAAGAGCATCAATAATTTTTCTCTATTAAAATATTTCTTTTAATCTATAGTCGCTATTATAAATTCTATTATTAAAAATTAACAACTTCTACCTTAATAATCAATTCTACCACTACCATTATGATCTATTTTTTTGAAAATCGTATCAACTTCCTAAGCTGCTTATTCAGATGATAACATTGTACTATAAACTTTTAGTAGTTCATCTTTGGTTAACTATCCATCTTTATTTAAGTCAAACTTTTGAAATTCTTCCATGAGTTTTTTCTTATCTTATTCAGACATCATATTTTCTGCAATATAATTTAACATAGCTATTTGCATTTAAGATTATTACTAAAATAAATCTTTAAATTCATACTTTAAAATCTTTCATATGTTTCTATAATTATTTATTAGGTTTTGTAATTATTCGAGTTCTATTTAAAAATATTGGATGATTAATAACTTCTGTAGCTGTAGGTCTTTGTTAAGGATTTGAACTAAGCATTTTAGAAACTAATTGCTTCATATCAGGATTAATATTAGCCCATTCTGAACCATCAAAATTAACTACACCTCGTTAAATGGCTGTTTTGATAGCCTATACATCACGACCTTGGAATGGCATATGAGATGTTAAAAAGAAATACAATAAACATCCACTTGACCATATATCTGCCTTTTATGTTATAGGTGTATTAACTGTATTTTATTTAATAACTTCAGGAGGTTTAAAAGATATATCCGAAACACTTAAACTGGGCTTCCATGACATACATATAGTTTTCATAGAATTTGGAATACCAAAATCAATAAGCTTCACACTTTCCATCAATTTATTAGTAAATACTATGCTATCCAATTAGATATTCCTTATTTATTAATTCAAATCATACCCATGTACAATACCTAAGCTGTGTAAATATTGCAATCCTGCCATAATTTGACAGAACACATCTATCATTGTGTATTATTGTAATTAACTAAATTTATCCAACTAAGAGAGCAGATTTCCACCATCACAAAATTCTTAAATCAAGTACAAACGATTATCATTATAATAGTAGGATAATGTGCCAATCAAGTTCAAATGTTTCTTTTGATATAAAAATAGGTATTACAATTTGCATCAATTAATTTATAATCCTCTCTAGTTCTTGCCTCTCAGTAGTAGTCAGAGTTTAACAATTAAAAACCTTTACTATTCTAGAGGCATTATTACTCTTAGACACTATTTTTTTTATATAATTTCTTTAAGCTAACAATCTTATTCAAACAAAATTACTAACTAAAGGATCCATAACATGAAAAATATAATCTGATTCTATCTTCTCAGTCTCTTATAATATTGGAGCCTGAGCTAAATTTACTAATTAAGCAGCCTAATTTGATTAGTTTTAAGGCGAGTTTAATTTACTATCAGGTTTCGCTGATTTGGTGCCTCCACAACCCATAAGTAATGAAATATTATATTATTAATTGAACAAAAAATCTTATAGAGGAATTTACACCTATATTATCTTTTTTTAAATACAATCTTATCAGAATTAAAACCTAAAAAATTTCATTTAATTAATAATGATATAAGAATCATTATTTAAAGTATTAAATTTTTAATCCCTAGATTATTTTTAGTTGATTTCTAAAGCCAATAAACGCATAAATAATGAATTAATTAATTATCAAATAAAATCTATGTAATCCTCTTATTATTAATATTTTATAGAATCCAGTAGAGATGCTAAAGTTATTACTTCAAAATTAATCAATTTATTTCACTCTCTTTTTTTAGATTTTTATGACTGAAAAATTTTAATAATACTTAAAGTTGCAGAATAGAATAAAATTGTCATTAGATAATTGAATTATGAGTTTCAACTTTTAAGCAATATATTAGATGAAAATATAAAGAATCATATACATAGAAATGATAAATTATTTTTTATTCAAAATGTTATTTTGAATAGTTGGAAATTTTATGTATAAATGAAATATAAAATAATAAAATAAATGGATAAGTTGAATAGTTGGGAATATTGCAATCCATCAAATTTTGAAGATAAATTACCTAATCCTTACAAGTAAATATTTATATGACAATAACAGTTTTATAAATAAGGTTTTGAATACGATGATTTTAAACGAGGTTTATAATAAAATTTTCGAAATTGAAAAGTATAGAGATGATCCAAATTATGAAGGACATTTGAGAACTCTTCCTCCTTAGGGTATATTTGAAATTCCTTAATTAACATCTATTAGTAGAGAGAGTTCAGATAATTTGATTGCTGCTGGTGACTCATAAGGAAATTTGATGATACTTGATTTAATTAAAAAGATTAGGATTGCAAAAAAAGAGACAAATGGTAAACGTATTTTGATGGTATGTTTAAGTGATAGAGAATAAGCTACAGACGATTATAGAAATGTTTGTGCGTATATTTATAATAATTAATAATAGGATTGGAGTTATACATCATAATGATCCTGTTGTTTATATATATCGATATAGAATTAATGATAACAAAATATTACTTCATCATACAATAACAATGTCAAAAGATAATAAATTAATAAGTGAATATCCTGTGTAGATAGATATTAGTAAATATTGTCAATACATATCAATCGCATAATTTAATGGTTGTATAAAAGTGTTTAGGATTCCAGATATTAAAGTTGAGAATATATAGAATTCTAATTAATTATCAAATAATAATAGTGTGGAATCACACAGTCCTATTCATAATTAAAGTTTATCAAAGGTTTCTAGTAGATTCAGAGAATTTTAATAGATTGGTACTTAATAACAAAATACTGCTATACAAAGTTCACCTCTAGATGTAGTTTGTACAGAATTATCTGATTTGGTATATTAAGTAAAGTTTCAAGGTGTTAAAAAATAATTAAATTATAATGGAATAATAGAAAAAATGAAGACTGAAGGATTTAAAGAGTAATAAGTTTAAGAGGAGGAAAAATAAGATATAAAGAAAAAATTATTAGCTCCCATAAAAAAAAGTGTTGAACCCATGATTGCAGAAGAAATAGTTTATGAAGAAAATGATAATTCAATCTAAATAAGTGATGGAGATTATCCTGAATTGAAATTTAAAGCATTAGTAGAATTTGTTACTGAGAGATTAAATTTTCAAAATGGAAATAGAACTTTTAATTCATACAAATAGTAAATATGTGTAACTGGAATAGTAGTTGGATGGACAAATACTACTATATTAGAAATACATAAATTTACATATCCAAGTAAATCTGCTTTACCTGAATATTTGAAATTTTAATAAGCTTAAAATAATATTCAATAAAAAGTTAAGTAATAAATTGTTGAAATTTAAATTCTATATCCTTTAAGTAGTTTAGCAATATCAAAAAATTCAATTAATTTAGGTGTAGGTTTAAAATAAGGTAGTGTATTTATTTATGATTTAATTTTGGAATAAGAAAAGTTTTATCTTGATAAACATGTAAGTAATTGTACAATCATTAAATTTTGTGAAGATAATAGATTGGTATCAGCATCTTATGATGGAGGTGTAAATATTTATGATACTCAAGAAGGTAAATTATTATGTAAAAGAACCCATTAATTTCGAAAAGGAACTAGAATGAAAATTGAGGAATAAAAAAAAGGTTTATGGAGAATCATAGGAATGAGTGTTAGTAATACTGGATTAGCTGTTGCTTTAGATTTTTAATAAGAAGTTAGAATTTATGATGTTTGGCATGGTGAAAAAATAGCTAAATTATCACCTTAATAAGTTATGGATGAGAAAACAAGAATATGGTTAACAGAAAAACCAATTATAGCATGTTTTAAAAATGAAATATTAATATCAGCTTTTTTCAAATTTGATACCAAGTAATAAACTACTTTGTTAATTTTTAAAATATTTGATAATCTTGTTAATTTATTTCCTGCTCTTGCTAATATATATAGGAAAGGTGTGGCTAAAGAAAAAATAATGAACTTATTTCAGAGAATAAATAAATCTGAATTACTTAATGCATCATTTGAAATACCAACTTTATAAGGTCCTCCATCTAATTAAGTTAAGAATATTGGTTAAGAAAACAGAACATCATTTTAAAGACCAGGGTATGAATTTTATTTTAAATTTTAGATCAATTCATAATTCTAATAAAAGTAATAAATTAAATAAATTACCAGTTGCTTTCAATTAAAATGTAAAATAATCAAGAGCTATATCTTTGATTTAATCATTATAAAAATCAAATTAATCAGAATAGTAAGTGGATTTTAATTCATCATTTTAAAGTCATTTACCTTCCGCTTTTACAAATAGATAATAAAAACGAAATTCTAAATAAGTTATTCTCACTAAAGAAATTCTTCATCCAGAAGAATTCCTTTTAGAAAAGGAGAAGATTTAAGTGCCATTTTTAGTAAAAGATGAATTACAAATGGTGTAAAATTGTAGAACTAGAAATTTAGAAAAAATAATTAGAATGGAAAAAGTTACTAATATGATTTAATAAGTTGGTTAAAAATTAGCTATTGAAGAGGAGAAGAAAAAACAATAATAGAGACATCGTTAATTATCTGTTGCTAAATGAATTATTTTTATAAACCCTTAAATACTATTTTATAATATAGTGAATATTATAGATATCATCCAACAAAATTAATTTGATTTTTTGGAAAGGGAGTTTTTGTGCTTCTATTATATTCACTCTTTGGATCTCCATTAGTAATTGGATTACGATACAAATTTTCTCTGGTTGGAAGATTGGAAGTTTTTAATTATTATTTGTAAACTAAATCTGAATTATTTCCAGGCTCATTAACTTTTATACAATGAGGTTTAAATGTTTATTCTTTACGATTTTCAGTAAACTAAAAAATGTAAAAAATTTTGATACATCAAATACGCTAGTAGGTTAATTGCTAAATTGAGTAGTCTTTACAGTAGGTTTATGTAGAGGTGCAGCATTTGTAATTAATGAAGTAACTTAAAATAGAGGAGTTGATAATTTTTCAGTTTATTTATTTGCACATTTCTCTCTTGCAGCTTAATATAAAGCAAGATCAGATTCTTTTAAGGGTTTATCATTATTTTTGAGTGATTTACTAAGTTGATATTCTGAACGATTAGAATTAATAGAAGTGACAGTCTTGAAATAGCTTTCGTTTTCCATTGATTTGATCGTTAATAATTAATATTTTAATTAATTAAATAATTATAGGTTCTAGTGGCAAAATCAATCATATTTTAAGAAATTATAAAAAGAATGTTTTGACATAGTCTCTAAAATGTGCATTAATTACCTAATAATTATAAATTATATTATATATGCAATAATTAGTTCGAAAATACATATTAAAGAAACTAAAATCATTTATTCCAGATCTAAATGAAGATTAAATATCTATAGCTTTAAGTCAAGGCTATTTATAATTAGATAATATGGAGTTGGCACCAATTTAAGTTGAAAATTTTATGATTACAGCAACTGTTTCTTGCTTTATATTAAAATTATAATGGAGTTCCCTCCATTTAAAGATGGAAATATAGAATGTGAAAGTGATGATATAATATACTTAAAATATAAAAAAAGAGGAGAAAAGTGTTAAAAATAAAAAAAGCAAAAATATTTCAATTCCAATAAGTTTGTCATTAGAGGTGAATGAAATAGAAATTAATTTTGTCAATATTTTAATGATAAAGTTAGCAAATTTAAAATGTGAGATGAAGAAAAGGTAAAACTAATTAAATGGAGAGTTAGGAGAGTTGAATTTAAAATTTAATTACAAAGAATCTAGTGTAGTATAGATAGATGTAAGATAAGTGAAATGGGATATATATTTAAATTAGGAGATAGTATAATTATTTTTAGAATGTATATATATATAAGATGTTACAAATTAGAAGATGTAAAAGTTAGTTAAGTTGCGTAAGTTAGGTGTGAATATATCTAAAAATATATACAATAAACCGTTGGTAAGGATATAAATTGAAAAGGGAAATTGTCATTGGAATGCAAAGGTGATGCATTAAGTGATTTATAGTGGGATTGACTTTGCATAGTAATTCATTAAGGTGAGTGTGAAATAATAGATAAGATAGACAGATATGGATAATCCTGAGAGTTTAGCAGTTTCTATAGAAGTTAAGAAAATAAAATTACATTGTTAAAACAATTATACTGTTTTGGGTTAGTTGTAGGGAACAGATATAAGAGTATTCATAAAAGTTAGTAAATACATTGGAGATGTGATTATAGAAGGAAAAGATTTGTGTTATTTTGAATAATCAAATTATCCTCATTAAATGATAGTCAAAAAAGGATTTCGTATGATAAGGAGTGAGGAATTAGTTATATTGATTAAAGTATATGATGATTACTGTCCATTAGAAATGATAAAAAATGACCTATATAACTTTGTAGAGATTAAATTAAAAAAAGGATAGATTTATTACATACAATAACCATTCTTAAGATTCATGGATTGGTTGATTGAATAATTTATTTCTCTAATTATTAAAGATTATGGGGTTACTTCAATTCCAGAGGATGTGATTGAATAGAAACTTAGAGACCATAGATTTACATCTATTAAGTTAGACATTCATGATATTTGGGCATATTTTAAACCTATAGTAACTAGTGATGAAGGATTAAAATTAGTGTGCACTTCTTTTGCTCTTCATACAGATATCAGAGAATCCTATGATCGTAGTAGTATGATGATTTGGGAAACATTATTATGTATGCAAATAAAAGACATTCTCATTAGTGCTATTAGTGATAAAGCAGAAACTGTAATTTCGTAAATGATTAACTGCTCATTAACAGTTAGTAAGTGTGGGTTCTCTTAGTTGTATATTCTTAAATAGATTCCACTTGATCGTACTTTCAGGATTGACATGTAACTATCTGTTCCGTAACTTTAAGTATCCAAATAAACTTATTTACTAATTATGCGATTATTATTTAATAATATTCTATATGATGATACTCTTGATTAGTTGTATCTTTATCAAATCAGCAAACCTAGTAATTAATTAAATTAATGAAAGCCCCTATTCTCCTAGAATTAAGATTAGATCAAGTCAATCTAAAATGCGAAGATGACTTGGCGCTATTTGGAAATCAAGTTCTCTTTCGTTTTCATCGTTAGATAGATCATTCCAAAATATTTGTTAATCTTTAAGATTTTGTAGCCTATCATAAATAGCATTTAATCATATCTAAACTAAATCCCGATGATTTATATTTTGCTGAATATAATTAAACAAATTAATAAACTGGATAAAAAGATATCTAAATCTTAATTCCAGGTGTTAATGGAACTCTGAATTTGAATTGGCTATTTACTGCTATAAATTTTTTCCTGATTGACGACACAGTATAAATGATACTTCCATTTGATAATAATGTTCTCAAACCTTTAAATCTAGAACTAATAATTTAATAAGCTGATGTTCTTCTTTAGCCATTACATTAAGATACAACATTCCAAGCCAAAGGTAATTTATTATTAGTGTTTATAAAAAATTAATCTTAAGATATTCATTATGCTTATCATTAAGAACCTGTGTTTGATGATAACACTCCTAGTAGTTGTATGAAGATTGAATCTAGTTAACTTACTCTTTATGTTAATGAAAGTGGCAATGAACCAAAAGAAGTATTTTAGCCTATATCAGTGTAATGGAAATCACAGAATTTTTAATGTTTTTGTACATAGACTCATCAATTTCTGAATGAATCTAATTTAAATATTGAGAATCTAAAATTGTATCTCACCATAGAATAAGGACTCAAACTTATAGATTTAATCAAATATCTAATTTAATCCATGTGGGATGCTAATTAATTTGGAGATTAATGGAATGAAAGATATTCAATTATTTCTTAGAGTCGTAAATCATTTAACATTGATCATCTTGAATTTTGGTTGATGAGTTCTAAAAAAGATACTATTGTCCCTATTCTTACTACTTGTATCTCTTCAACTCCACTTATACTACATTAATCATACTAAAAAATGTTAATCTCTGGAAATATCAGAGTTTAAGCTTCATATTTTAATCCTATGATTGGTATTCTTGAACCTATTCTAGAAAAATTCTCATTCGACCTCATGTTCTTAAGAAATAAACTTACTACTCCAAATATGCATTTATAAATTGAAACTAACAAAAATAGTAAGTTCTCTTAACTAAATATTGTTTTTCATTAAAATCTCATCCTTTTGTTAAATGATTTATATAATGTAAATAAAAAAAAGAAGGAACGAAAAAAAAGTTACAGAAAATCAATTAATATATAAGAAATCATGGAATCACCATAAAATGAAACCATTATTCTATTCAACATCTAAAATTTAAGTGGATATGATCTTAGTATTACAATTGATGAATAAACACTTTCCATTAAAAATGGTAATAAAACAGATTTTAATGCAAAATTAAGTTAGATTGATGTTTGGAGAAAATATAATAGACTTAATGTTGAATTTTAAACTCTTAACAAAAAATTAATTAGACTTAATAAAGTTGAATAAAATTCATAATAGGGATTTAAAATTGATAGATAATAATGTTTTCTATATTTTACCTCTCATATAAGCAAATTAACAAGAATTATTAAAATTTAAGGATAATTATCAGTGTCAAATTTTACCTTATTTGAATAGTAGATTGAAATTATACATCATAATAATGTCATATGGAGTAAATTGTTATAAATGAATGAAAGAGTTGCACCTCCTGGAGAACTCATCTCTGATCAACATTTTATTAGATTTGCACTCTCCAAAAGAATTACAGATTTTTCAGTTAGTTTAAAAGCTCTATTGCATTCTGAATTTACCTATTTAGAAATTCCTCAAGGAAATCAATTTGTTATTCTCAGTTGTGAAGATGAAATATAAAATACAAGGCATCTAAAATTAACAGCATGTCTAGTTATTCATAATTCTTTGCCCTGTCCTCTTAACATTACAATTAAGTAATTCTATTAATTATTCTAGTGAAGAACAATAAAGTATTGCTGTTAATGATTCATTATAGTTTTATTACTATACCTCAAAAAGTTCTATTGATTATTCAATCGAATTATTATAATTTCAATCTAAAGAAGTTTTTAAATATTAACCACTATAATCAAATCTTTAAACTGAAATTTAATTATTTAATGAAGAAGGTAATACCATTAGAATTATGTAAAAGATTACATTAATAAAAGGATCTTTGTTTTTTTATTTCTATCCTAAAATATGTCTAATCAATACAACATCAGCAAACCTAAACTTTCATACTTTAGTTAATAATAAAAAATAAGATATAGCTCTATTCAATAACAATTATACATTCTTATTCAATGAAGCCAATTTAATACTTTCTTGCAGCAATTACTATTCAAATGAATTCACCATCAAAGCTATTGGTGATACAAGTGTTGAAATTAAGGTGAAGAAATAATAATAATTTGAATTACTTGAATTTGGCATTAATATCAGTCTATTAGAAACTGTTAAATAATTAGGGTTATATAGTACAATTATTGAGATTGCACCTAGATATGTTATTATAAACTAAACTGAAAATGTTATGTAAGTCTAGTAATAAGATTCATATGGAAGTCCATTTAATATAGATCCTAATTCAAGATTAGCATTCAATTGGGCTGATTGCAGAAAAGAGTATATTCAAATATTATATTAGGAAAATGATAGCGATAAAATTTAAAAATACAAAATGGAGCGAAGGATTATATTTATCGGATATGAGAACCATTCATTTTAGTATGCTTTCAAGGTAAGATGATAAACCAAAAACTTTTATGTAATGTGTAATTGTTAAAAAGAAAGCTACATTTTTTGTAACTTTTCTTACTGAACCAGCTCCTTATAAAATCATTAATTAATGTCCTAATTGCTCAATTAGATTTGCATAAATTGGTTCAGAATAAGAGGAACATATTAGATATAATTAATTTATAGAATTTTCTTGGACTTTTCCATCTTTAAAACCTATTTTAATATTCAATGTAACAAATGAATAAGATCATTGTGAATTTTAATTTGATTTATTTAAATCTGATTCTACATTTTGTTAGAAAATAAGTGCTTCAAAAAGTATTCACTTTAGTATTTATTTTGAAAATAGTGTGAAAGTGATAAAATTAATGGAGAATCAAGAATAATAGTTTATAAGCGATTAGATTAATAAATTAATTTATATCAATTTATAAATGATTACAATAAGTATAATAATGAATGAAGTAAAACCATAGGAATTGAATCTAATAACATTAAGTAATTTTGAAGTTGGTATATAAGAAATTAATCGAATAATATCATATTAATTTAAAGTGAAATTTATAAATATCGATAATAATTATTCATATGATTCACTAAATTAAGTATTATTGACACCTTAACAATTTTAAAGTTATTTAGAGTATTAAAACTATGCAATTGATATAAAATGGGCAATAAATAAATAACATGCTAATATTTTAATGATAGAATATTTCTTTGCATATATAGCACCATTAGAATTAAAATTAGATTAAGAATATTTATATTAATTTATGGCATTAAAAAAAGCATTAAACTTTGAAAAATAGGAGATCAATGTTTAACATTTTTAAACATCAAAATATTTATTTAGTTAGAATAAATCATATTCAACAACTTAAAATCCTTTTTATGAATGGTTAATTATTGAAATACCTCCTCCATCAGGTAATGTATATATGAAACAATTGATTCTTCCAGTATTAAAGATTCGATTTTCTTTTTAAACACTATATCAATAGAATTAAAATTTTATATTAAATGTGATTGCAAATTCTTTGGATTTTGCAGTAAAAAATATAGAGAATGCTCCAATAACATTAAAAGGAGTAAAGATGGAAAATATATTTGATACATAATAGGGTTTATAGACAATAATAAAAGAACATTATAAATTTGCATTATTAAAATAGTTCTTGTAAATATTAGGTTCAATTGAGATTCTTGGTAATCCAACATCATTTTTGAATAGAATATCAACAGGAGTAGTAGATTTAATAGAGAAACCAATAGAAGCTATGTCATTGGGACCTTTAGAGTTGGGTTTGGGAGTATTAGAGGGAGCATCTTCTTTAATAAAAAATACAGTTGCAGGAGCATTTTATAGTGTAAATAAAATTACAGGGAGTATAGGTAATTAAATAAGTTTATTATCATTTGATGAAGATTATATATCATCTAGAAGAAAGTTTATGTAAAGAAAGCCATCATAAATATTTGAAGGAATATATTTAGGAATAAATGCATTGATAACAGGAATAGGGGATGGAATAGTAGGATTTTTTTCACATCCTTATTAACATGGAAAAAGAGATGGAGCAGCTGGTATTTTGAAAGGATCAACAATAGGAATTGCTGGAGTTATAATAAAACCTTTAACAAGTGTATTTGATGCAGCTTCTAAGACAGCAGAAGGATTAACTAATACAGCTACTTATTTTGATGATCATCCAAATACATTAAGAATGAGAAATATTCGAGCATTTTATGAAAATAGTAGATATATAAAAGCTTATAATGAAGATGATTCCTTCTTTTTAAATTATTTAAGTAATTATAACATTATTTTAATTGATGTTTTTGGTTTGTATGATTTAGAATTGAAAAAGGATATGCATTTAGTAATAACTTAAAACCTCTTGTTTTACATGAATAAATAGAGTGGGATAAAATGGCAATAGTAAGTAAATTCTATAAGAGACTATAAATTATATTAAGATGAGAATAATCCTTCAATACTTAGACTTTATCTATTTTTTGAAAAAGAACAAATATTAAAATTAAAATTTTAAAAGGTGCCATATTAAGATTAAATAAATTAGAAACTTCAAAATATGATAGAATAAAGTTGAACAATGTTTTTTTATTTAATATTTATCATAAAGGTTCTGTCATTTTTAATAACCAATCTTTAGCTGTTTATTCTTACATTAAAGGTAATAAGGTGTCTCTAACCAAAGTATGATATTAATCGATATAATTTCTATCTCTAGGACTCAATAAATCTAGATTGATTAAATTTCTATCATAAGGACAATATGTCAGATTTTAGAATCCATAAAATTGATCATTAACTTGAACACAGAGAATAAGATTCTCAATTCTAATACCAAATTTACCTTCCTCATAATAACCAGGTTCTAAATATATAAAATGAAATGAGTTACCATTAGATACAATCATACCAGGTTGAAATACTTCAGTTCTATATTTACTAATTCCATGTGGTCCTTCATGAACATTTAAAAAATAGCCAACACCATGTCCAGTTCCATGTCCATAATCTAAATTAGCTTCCCATAACCATCTTCTTGCTAATACATCAATATCTCCTCCATGAATTTTACTTTTTTTAGGCCATTTCAATCTTTCTATATCTAAATTACCTAATAATACTCTAGTATAAGCATTTCTCTCTTCTATTGTTGGTTTTGTAAAATGATAAGTTCTTGTTACATCAGTTGTTCCATCTAAATATTAACCACCTGAATCAATCAAATAAATATGATTAGGATTTATTTAAGATTTATTATTCTCTGTTGGATGATAATGTACTATTGCAGCATTGGCTCCACTACTAGAAATAGAATCAAATGATAATCCCATATTACGATTTTATTTATATCTATATCTAGCCAATACTTCTGCTGCTTAGAATTCATCTAATTCTACTCCATCTAATAATTATTTCTCTAACCATCCTAAATAATGCACTAATGCTGCTCCATCTCTTATATGTGATTCCTTAAATCCTTAAATTTCTCTTTCATTTTTTATTGCTTTTAATAATTCTATTGGACAAGCATTCAAGGTAATTGGATTTTCTACTTATTGTATTAATCTATCATTTATTTCACCAGGTGTCACTCCTGTTTCAAAAAACTTTTCATTAAATACCTCTAAAATAGGTTTAATTTCTATATTATTTTCAGTTAAATATTATTTCACTTATTCATTTATCTTTCCTGGATTGATAAATAAAATTCCTGTTAGATCATCTCTTAAATATAAATAGCTTTTAAAAAGTGGATTAAATTTTATATCCTTTCCTCTTAAATTTAAAACCCATGCTATTTAATCTAATTTAGAAATCAGAATAGACTTTGCCATTTTCTATTTCAAATTTTCAAATATTTATGAAATCTTTTTAGTTGTTGGATATTAATGATATTCTAAATCATGTATCATTACTTCAGCTAATGAATCTTAAGGCTTGTTAGTCCAAACTAAATCAATAAGATTTTCATTTATAGCTTTGAGTTCTATTCCTTACAATTAACTTTGCCTTGATTTCCTTAGATCTAAATATAATTACATAATATAATACTATGACAAATCAAAAGAGGATCATAACCTATAACTTGTCCTTACAAATTATTCAAAGCATGTTCCACCCATGTTGGCACACCAGGTTCCAATTTTTATAATTCCCAGCCTGTTTCCAATTATTTAGATGCTTACAAATAGTACCTTGAATCTGTCCATAAATATGCAATAGTATTTGTAATAAGTCCTATTCCTGCTGATCCATCAAAACCTGATATAAAAGCTAATCGTTCATCTGAATCAGATGTATACTCAGACTATTATTATTTTACATATTCATACATCATGAGCATCACTATGAGGCACCAAATATGCTTGGATGGACCTTTAAGCCATTAACTCTCTTAAAAGATTGAGCTTATTATTTATCTTTTACATATAAAATGTAATAAAATAAGTTATTGCAGACCATATAACATGTTTTTAATTTGAAGAATCCCCTCTTTCGAGAAAAAATAATCATGTTATGTTTAGTCTTTGTTTAAGAAAACAAATCAGAATACCCAATCAAAACTCTGCTTGAATAGTTGCCATTTCAATTTGAAGAGTTACTATATGATTACATTAAGAACTTGAATTCTGAAGATCCCTTTATTTTATCAAAAGCTTTTGATTTATTAACTTAAAAAGCCATGCAAATGATTTTAGATAGAAATACATACATAAAATACGAAATACAATTACTTAAATATATTGCTTAACAATAAAAGATCTAATAAAATTATCATATGGCTATCAAGACCATTAAATATGTTTTAGAATTAGAATTAAAAATAGAACCTAGAGATTCAATAAGCATTTTATCCAGTCGTATGAGTTTGGTGACTATATTGTCTACTTCAGGATAACATACATAAGCTCTTAATGAATTAAATATCATATAACATTTCATCAATCAAATTTAAGATCAAAAACCATTCCTAAAACTTATTTGCATTATGTACTATAATTATGGAGTAGAATGGGAACATTTAGGTTAACTTTTTTAATCTCAAATCAATCTTTCTTAAGCATTGGAAATTGCTAAAGCCAATAAGTTTGATGAGCTCCTACTAATTGTTGAATAAGCAATAACAAATATTAAAAAATCTAAATGATCTAACTTTATTTAAACAACTAAATCAATTCATTATATTCTCATTATTATATACAACATTATTATTTTAATATTTTATTAATCATTCTACTTTTATATGGATATCTTCTTTAGCTAAACTTTTCTTCTTTTGATCTACTTCCTCTTCATTCACAGCTCCAATAAAAGGCATTGGTAATAAAGATCCTACTGTACATATTAAAATCAAAAGCCAAAGATATGTAAAATTCTAATTTGTTATTCCCAAATAAAAAGTCAAAATTATACCTATTTATTTCGATATTGTGTTTCCTAAATTCATTGTCCCTGTTAATAAACTATATACAGTTCCTAAAATATTTTAAATTATTTAATCTACCTTCTAAATATTTTGGACACATCTTTGCTCCCAAAACAAGCACTGGAAGAGTATTGATTTCCTATAAGGTTTACATCAAAATATTATCCCACATACAAAATTAATAATCTGGAATATTGTATTCGATATTTATCCTTGTAACTAATAATAATGATAAAAATGATGCAAAGAAATATAACATATTTGATACAGATAAAAATTGTCCAAATGGATATCTTCTAAATAGATAATATATTGTAACTGCCATTATTGTGCAAAAACTATAAGTATACCTTAATGTTATAAAAAATTCATCATTTAACTTTAGTTGATTTATGTAAAAATAAAACATTGAGGTTGCAGGAGAAGGAGTAGCCATAAAAAAAAATATAAACAGTAATGGCCGATAAATAACTGGATCCAATATAAACTTTTGTAAATTCATCCATAGTTATTTCATTTATATCTTATCCACCATTTGCTATTCAGGAATGAAAAGTGATAAAATTGCAATCAGTAATGGAAATAAAGATAAGACCTAAAAATCTTATAAATTCAGCTATTATACTATTTCTATGAATTGGAAAATTGAATGCAATATATGTATAGAAATATCCCCCTATTGCTCTCATTCCAAAAAATAAAGCTACATTCTAACTTGTATTTAATTCATGACTTTATTCAACAAGCACAGCTTCAGCAATCACATTGCAAAATACTATACAAAGTTGAATTAGAAATATAATAACAAATGCCGTTTTCCTATCTACATCGCTTACTGCCATAAAGGTTTCTAACAAAAAGCAAATTATCGCAAAAATAAACAAATAAGGTTTTCTTTTATATTTTGCAATGGGGAAAATATCAGAGCAAAATCCCCAAATAGGTTTGATAATCCTTTGAAATAATTTGGCTTTCTTACCATGGGAATGATAGAATGAGTTTGAGGGTTTCAAAATCATGTAATGTAAGTTATATCTTATTCGATTGGTAGAATATATAAGATAAATCACTAATTTGAATAGCTCCTTGAAGTATTGCAATAAATGATAATATATTAAAAATCATTATATTTAGTTAAAAAATAAATATCATATTTCAGAACCAAAAAAATACATTATTTTGGTTCTAAGGAAAATTTGAGATATTATTTCTTTTTTAATTAGATTTTCCTTCATCTACATTCCCTATTGCTTATTTTCTATTCATCGAAAAAAAAATCTCTTTTAAACATTTTTAGGTTATATCACGATAATAGATAGAAGTATTATTTTATAAAATCAATCATCTCAATTAATTAAAAAGTCTTTATTTTAAAAAGTACCTTAATTCATCTTCTCATCAAGATTATATTATATAATGATAATTTCATTACAATTATGGTAAATGTCTTTGAATTAAAAATATTTTTTTACTTAAATGGATTTTAAATAAAGTGATTCTAACTGATTGTTAATAAAGAAAACATTTTGTTAAAGATTTGATTAGGATTAGTCTTAAATTAATATAAATTTAGAAAATTTCTAAATCTAATACTGTAACAATACTTAATTATTTTATATTGAGAAATGTAATTTTTAAAGAGCGAATCTTTGTTGTTTTGGGATGAATAACTTAAATTATTAAAGGCTAAATCATAATTTTGTTTATTATCTATTATCGCTTATTAACTTTGTTATTAGAAAAGAATATCTTAATTATTAAACATTTCAAGTTTTCCATTATCTTCTAAAGTTTATTTTTAAATATTTTAATTGAGATCTTTATAAACTTGATCTAAACCTCTTTATTTCTTCATTTTTTTTTCTTCTAGTAATAATAATAAAGTCTTAGACAATAGCAATTATATTAAATGTATAAGAAAAAAAATTGTCGGACCGTTTTCTTGTTTATAAATGGATGATTGGTATAGAAAAAATATTCTTAATGCAGATTTGTTATAAGTCAGAAATCTTAAGACTTAACCTAGATTGTCAAAGTTAAAAATATTCATGAGAATTCTGGAATCCTAAATGCAAAAAATCCTAAAATAGATATATTAAATGGTTTCAAGTGCCAGAAGAAATTTTAAATACTTAATAAAATTTAAGTAAAAGCATTTCGAATGATTCTTCAATTAGTAAAGTTACAACTGAATTATCCTTAAGCAACAATAAAAATTGTTAAAAATAGATAATTTGGAAAATAATTAAGATAAAGTTCTGAATAATTGGAATATTAAACAATTATCAAAATGATTATTTGAATGATTATATACTTAAGAATAAGAAAGGAATTAATTTATCAGATAGGAGGCAGCAAATATTGTAAAAAATTAAGTTCAGAGACATATGGATGATTTATAAATTTAAAAGACAAAAGTTTTAAATATCTAATTATTATAATATTTTAAAAATCGAAACTTACTAGTAGTTATTGTGCACAGTTAATAATGGTATTCTATACATCGATCTACAATTTAATAAATATGTTTATAGAATTGGGAAATAAGCTAAAATGGTTATTAAGATTGATTTATGTTCATTTAGTGAATGGCCTATTTACCCTGGACACGGAAGAAGATTTGTGGCTAAAGATGGTAGATTATTTTACTACTTAAATTAAAAGAGTAGGGCCTTCTCAGCTAGAAAAGAATAATTTGCATTTATTATTTAGATTAAAAGCCAAGAAATTTAATGGACTGTTGCTTTAAGAAGATTAAACAAAAAAATCAAAACAGATGAGGGTTCTAAAAACGAAGAATTAGAAATCTTAAAATTTAAAGAGCTATAGTTGGTATTTGGTTAGAAGAAATTCGAAGAAGAAGAAAAGAAGATGAAAGTAAATTTATTTTATAAATTTAGAAAAAAATAAATTTAGAAACTCGTAAGGCTTAAGCTGAATAAGCAGCAAGAGAGATTAAAGAAAGAAAACAAAAGTAAATAGATGTCTAAAAATAATAACGCAAAGGAGTAACAGGTACCTAAAAAGTTGCACAAAAAGCCGAAACTAAAGCATCTTAAAAGGCTGTTGCTAAAACTGCAGGTAAATAAAAAGGGAAAAAATGATAGATTAAATATGTACATTAATTATACAACATTAACTTGTTAATGATAGATCAACCTGAAAAAAAATTCTATTCAAATATTCAAAATTACAATAACCCTTTATTGGTCAATTATACTTTAAAAAATAATTTTGTCTTAATTATTAATAAACAATAAATCACTTAGGTATAGTTTTTATTGATAAATTGGAATAATTTATGATCAATATTATAAAGGAATTCTTATAAAAATATTATAAATTAAATTATGAATTAACGATCACTATACTTTAATTTCTAAAGGCTCAACATTCCTGTAAAATGTTTACCAGAAAAAATATTGTAATCAAATAATATCTCTACCACTTCAGAGGCTTATGATGGAATTTCTAATTTTAAGAAGTTGATTTTAGAGTATTAAAAAAAATCATAATTCGAAAAATGTCAAACATTAATTAAAGATTACCTAAAATGTCTCCTCAACTCTAAATAAAAATGTTAGTAAAATTATGATACATAATACAGATAAAATTAATATGAATTATGAGGAGATGGTTTTTTGGTTACAAAAAAATTTTATAATTAGTCATGATCAAGCCTTGTAATTGTAAAAAATATATTAAACATCAATCGTTGACCATTAAACATTGATTAAAGTCTTATATTTGCTTCACGAATTTTTAGATCAAGATAATTTTAGAAATTCCAATGTATAATATTATCAATAAATTAGTTAAATGTTTTAGAAGATATTAAATAAATTCTCAACTGAATTTACATTACTATAAATTGAATTTAAATTCATTCATATTAGGATTTTATTAATAAAATTTTACAAGATTAATTTTTTTATTTATAAAGATTCTGTTGTATTGTTAGGCTTTATGAATTTTTTAGTTCAAAAAAAGAAGAAATAGGATTATGTGTTGATATATTCCTTAAGAAGCTTATAATACAGGCAAATTCTTAATTAAAAGATCCTTTTTTATTAATTTAAAAAAAATATTTAATGATGAGATGAGGTCTATTACCTCTTTTGCTTTTGTAATATTTTAAATTTAAATTTCAGAAAGTGAGCTAGATGAAAAAGATTATCAAGAAAAAATATTATATTATTAGGTTATATTTTTATAATTTTGAAATTTTAAAATGCATTACTATAATCAATTTTTGTAAAAAACAAAAATATTTTTTGGCGATTAAAAATAATTAGTCGTTGTGTCTCTTTTAATTTTTAATTTAATTATGCTCTAAGTTCAATTTATTTAGCAAAGAAATGCTAACATTAATTAAAATATTAAAAAAATTTAATGACTGAAAATCATTTAAAATTTTTTAATTAAAAGAAAACATAAAATCATTTATAAAATCTAATTATTTGGATTCTATACTAAACATTATTTTAAAATTAAAATGAATTTTTAGCATTTTTTACAAAAAACTTGAATTTAAAGTTTACTGCAGAGTAAATTATTTTCCATTTTAATCAATAATGTTTTGTTCCTTTATTTTTAGATGAAAAGTAATTACTACTACTTAATATAATAACCTAATATTAAAATTAAAAAAATTATAAAAATTTTATGAAGCCTGTTAAAAAAAGCTTGTAAGATTTGAAAATTATGAAATAGGTTAATAAAAACATTTTTAAAAGGGAATATAAATAAAAATTAAACAAAAAACAAGATATTTGGGTATATACTTTATTCAGTTTAATTGAAGAAATAAGTATTAAAAATAGTTAGGATTATTATAAAAAAGTCCTTTTTCCATCAAGATTTAAAAATATATTATTAAAATAAACTATTTTTTTAAACTTACTGGCAGATTATTTACAAACAATACTAAAATTAATAGGAAATGAAAGATTTGAAAATTATCCAAAAAATATTATTAAATAATAGATTAAATTAAAAAAACATTTATAAATTTATAAGTAAAGAAGAATATTCTTAATATTAATTTATCATTCTATCTAGATATCGTCTTGTTATAGTTTCTCAATAACTTAAGCCTCTAATTATAAAATATTGTTTAATGCATTTTGATATTTGTGTTTTACTTCCTCTAATTCTTGCAATTTTTATACTATGTCTCTATTTTCTTGTTGAGGAGAGATAAATTATGATTGTTAGAATGGTATTCTTTATTTAGGAGAACTGTGTTCTTGGAATTAAGATGGTAATTAAATGTTCGAAGGTCTTAAATAGTCCTTAGGATATCTATCCCATGAAGATCTATTCTAGCTTTATCTCATTTACTTATGAGGAGATTTATAGGATTCCCTTTCACGAGCTCTATCTCGTTTCATTTCATCAATAGCTTCCAAAACTTCTGCTCTTTGTCTTTTTCTATTATCGGATTGCATTTAGTATTTAGATATATTTTCTTTTAACTAATCAATTTATTAATTCAGTTGCATAATATGCATTTCTAGATTGGTTCTTTCATTTTATAAGAAAGCTATTTAATCTTCCAAATCTAGAATAACCCTTCTTTAGTATTCAATAGTATCATACAACTCTTAAGGATCATCTTATTGAATTTTATTTTTTAATTCATTAATAGCATTTTCATAGGCTCTTCTTTCTGCATAAAATTCTATATCTTTGGTTGAAATTTGAGATCTTTATAGTATCTATAAGTGTTATCTTAATTCATAAAGCTCATTTTATCTTTGTTTTTCATATCTTAATATTAATTCCTTCCAATTTTCTCCTTCTGGGTATTTTTAGACATTACTTTATAATAACTAATCTATTCTCCTTAAAAATTCTTAAATCAATTATTATTTCTCTAATTCATGTTATTCTTTGAGCTTTTAAATTAGATTGGATTCATTAAATGGTTAACTTTGCTAAAGTTATAATTCAATTTTCTATCTCTCTTGATTTCTAATTTTAGTAAGTTCTTCTTTTAATTCATCTTTCAGAATTGATTAGAAAGATTACATATGTTATTCAATTTATTCTTCTTTTTCCTAAAGAACAAGCATTAATTATTATCTACTTTATTCAGCTTAATCGAATTTTTACCTCCAGTAACTTGCTGTATTTTAAGCGTCTCCTCTTTAACCCACCTCTCTATTGATATTTTACTAAACAATATCATTATATTTTTATTCCCAATATGTAGAGGTCTGAAGAGCTTTTTGTAAATCTTTGTCAAGTTAACTAATTTAATATTACTAAGATTATAATGTATCTTATTAACTTGGATCTGGCTTTTATTATTATTGTTCAAGCTCAAAAACTCTCTTTTTATAAAATGTCACTTCCCCCTAAAATGTTTGATTTTCACTTCTTAATTTATCAATTATTTCTGAACTCAAATCTTATGGTTTTAATATTGGTTGCCAATCTTTATCTGGTTATAAGTTTTAAGCGGATTCTTCTTATTGTTAGATTATTTCTTGCACTTTTTAAGGGTCTTTATGTAAGGTTTAAAGTGCTTCTTAATATTTATCTTTCCAAAACTAGATTTATTTATCGTTTTAATCTTAAGATAACATATATTATTTTGATAGTTATTATGATTAATTTTCTTACTCTTAAATTCTCTTTTTTAAATTAACATTTTCATCGTTTAAAATCTTGTTTTCAATCTTGAGTTAATTAATTTAATTTTCATTCTCTAATTTTGTTTAATCTGTCGTTTATTGTAATACCAATAATGCCTCTTCTTATTAATGTATTTGTTAAGCTTATTCAATCATTTTTTTTTATACACTAGTAGGCGATAACTATTAACTGTATTCATTAAGAACTTATTAATATTTTTATTTCCAGAAATCTACTTACTAACCAATCAAATCAATTTATCTTTATAAATCTGAAACTCTCAATTTCGCGTTTTCTGTTACAGAAGGATCTGAGAGATCTTTAACCTTTTCATTCAAGACTAAATTTTAGGCCTAGAATTTCAATAATTCTTTTTGATTAATATCCTAATCTATCAATTGTTTTTGATAATTCAAACTTAACTAATTATTTTATTCTATCAATTGAGCTATTTTTTATCCTTAATCATCTCCACTTAAGGCTTATTTCATTTATTCAATTACACTAAGTTATAAATAAAAAGTTTTACTTTAAATTTCTTAATTTTAATTCTTCTATTTCCTTATTTAGTTTTTGAATTAATCCTTAACTCTCAGGGACTTACTATGAAATATCTTGATTTTCAATGTTTGCAGTAACTATACTCAGTTTTCCTTATACTTGAATTAATTACTATTAAAGAGAAGCTCGCTCATTTTAAAGATTAATAATTTATTCTTCTAATTTCTTATCATTTGAAAATTAAGATTATTTGATCTCTTAAATTAATTGTTATTCTTTTTAATTTAGTAATTATTTTTGCTAATCTGCAGAAGTCTATTAAGAGATCGATTCTGTGTATTATTTCTTCCAAAATTCAGTTTTAGTTTATTCTTATCTTTATTCATTAATCACCTCTTGACTTTATATCAAAATTGCTTATAAATTATCTAGTTCTTTTTATTTTTATGCTAGTTATGCTTGAAGAATAATGTTCTAATCTCTTAATGATTGCTAGGTTTCTTCATCTTCTGAATTTGGCTTCTATTATTATTTGGACTCTCTCTAGTTAAGTTAAGTTTTGAGAAATTCTATTTATTACTATTGAATCTCGTTTAATTTATCTTACATTTCAACTTATTTTTAATAATTAAGAAGATCGTCTTAAAGCTTTTCAATAACTTAAGACGATTCTTTTTCAACTAAATTAGAAATTCTATCATTTTGATTTGCTTCCAATTAAGCCTTTAGTTCATTTATTTGGTTGACCGCTTATAAAAGTTTTGCTTAAGCTGATGAAGGAGATAATGATGAATATTATTCTTAAAGTAAATTATCATATTTTTCTTTTTCCTTTAAAGCATTACTCTATGCTTCATTTAATTTTTGCTCTAAATTTTAAATTTATTGAACAGATGCAGATTGATGATCCCCTAGAAGTTAATGATATTTATCATTCCATAATTATGCATCTGTAATAGCATCTTTTAATTTTTATTTAGTTTCAGTAAGTTCTCCAATTAATTAAGGGATTTCAGTTTCGATTTAATGTTATTAGATATGATTTTATTCTTCTAATTCATGAATTTGTTTTGTTTATTATAATAATTTCTCTTATTGTCCATTTGGAGTTAAGTTTTATGATTATAATTCTAAAAGTTCTTAATATTAACCTTTAGCTTTTTCTAATTATTTCTTAAGTAATTCAATTTCATTTTATAATTATTATTGTAGTTGAATTTGTTCATCTTATTTTAGATCATCATGAATATCAATTAGTTATTTAGTCTTTTAGGTTAATTAACTTTGTAAGGCTAATTATTCTTATTAAACTTAATCTAATTTATTTTGTAGCATTCTTAGATCAGATTATAATTATTGTTTTTCTGACATTAAGCCTACTATTTATTATTCATTCACTCCATTTCCAATCATATCTTAAAACTTTTATAAATCATCTTTTCTTTATTATTATAATTCTTCTATTTATTGATTAAGAGCTTAATTAGTTTATTGCAATTGACTGATTTATAATGCTTTTTATGGATCAGTTTAAAATTGAATAGATCCTGAAGATGCCACTGGTTTTGGAATTTGTTCAGATAATATATCTTACAATTACTTTTACATTTATAATAATTAGTCTTAAAGATCTAATTTTGTGGCTTTTAATTCATCGTTTTCCTTTTATAATTCATTTTGTTCATCTAACTAAGTTTACAACAATTCATTTTGTTTTTTAAGATCTTGAATTATTTCTGTTTAATTTCCTTCATCTTTTTAAATGTTTTAAGGACCTACTTATTTTTAACTTGGAAATTATATTGGAATATCTTCTCCATGTTTATTTGCTAATTTCTAATATTCATTCTTCCAAAACTAAGCATTTTCTTATTCTAATTCATTCTTCAAATCTACTATTTACTGTCTATTCTCTTGATCTTTTAATTTTAGATCATTTAATTAATTTTAAAGAGATTCATTTTATTTTTCGTTGATGTCCTTTTATTATTATAAAAGTTTTATATCTCTTTATTAATTATCATTTTAATCTTATAACTAAATCAAATTTTATTTCAATTCTTCTATATTCTCTTAATTTTATTTTTGTTTTATTAAAGAATTTTAATACTATTATTGTAATTCAGATAGTGCTTATTAAGCTTCTTCTTTTGTCATCTTTAAAATATCTTCTTCTTTATGTTAAGGTTGAGAACTTTATTTATGATCTAATAAATCATGATATTTATCATTCCATAATTATGCATCTGTAATAGCATCTTTTAATTTTTATTTAGTTTCAGTAAGTTCTCCAATTAATTAAGGGATTTCAGTTTCGATTTAATGTTATTAGATATGATTTTATTCTTCTAATTCATGAATTTGTTTTGTTTATTATAATAATTTCTCTTATTGTCCATTTGGAGTTAAGTTTTATGATTATAATTCTAAAAGTTCTTAATATTAACCTTTAGCTTTTTCTAATTATTTCTTAAGTAATTCAATTTCATTTTATAATTATTATTGTAGTTGAATTTGTTCATCTTATTTTAGATCATCATGAATATCAATTAGTTATTTAGTCTTTTAGGTTAATTAACTTTGTAAGGCTAATTATTCTTATTAAACTTAATCTAATTTATTTTGTAGCATTCTTAGATCAGATTATAATTATTGTTTTTCTGACATTAAGCCTACTATTTATTATTCATTCACTCCATTTCCAATCATATCTTAAAACTTTTATAAATCATCTTTTCTTTATTATTATAATTCTTCTATTTATTGATTAAGAGCTTAATTAGTTTATTGCAATTGACTGATTTATAATGCTTTTTATGGATCAGTTTAAAATTGAATAGATCCTGAAGATGCCACTGGTTTTGGAATTTGTTCAGATAATATATCTTACAATTACTTTTACATTTATAATAATTAGTCTTAAAGATCTAATTTTGTGGCTTTTAATTCATCGTTTTCCTTTTATAATTCATTTTGTTCATCTAACTAAGTTTACAACAATTCATTTTGTTTTTTAAGATCTTGAATTATTTCTGTTTAATTTCCTTCATCTTTTTAAATGTTTTAAGGACCTACTTATTTTTAACTTGGAAATTATATTGGAATATCTTCTCCATGTTTATTTGCTAATTTCTAATATTCATTCTTCCAAAACTAAGCATTTTCTTATTCTAATTCATTCTTCAAATCTACTATTTACTGTCTATTCTCTTGATCTTTTAATTTTAGATCATTTAATTAATTTTAAAGAGATTCATTTTATTTTTCGTTGATGTCCTTTTATTATTATAAAAGTTTTATATCTCTTTATTAATTATCATTTTAATCTTATAACTAAATCAAATTTTATTTCAATTCTTCTATATTCTCTTAATTTTATTTTTGTTTTATTAAAGAATTTTAATACTATTATTGTAATTCAGATAGTGCTTATTAAGCTTCTTCTTTTGTCATCTTTAAAATATCTTCTTCTTTATGTTAAGGTTGAGAACTTTATTTATGATCTAATAAATCATGATATTTATCATTCCATAATTATGCATCTGTAATAGCATCTTTTAATTTTTATTTAGTTTCAGTAAGTTCTCCAATTAATTAAGGGATTTCAGTTTCGATTTAATGTTATTAGATATGATTTTATTCTTCTAATTCATGAATTTGTTTTGTTTATTATAATAATTTCTCTTATTGTCCATTTGGAGTTAAGTTTTATGATTATAATTCTAAAAGTTCTTAATATTAACCTTTAGCTTTTTCTAATTATTTCTTAAGTAATTCAATTTCATTTTATAATTATTATTGTAGTTGAATTTGTTCATCTTATTTTAGATCATCATGAATATCAATTAGTTATTTAGTCTTTTAGGTTAATTAACTTTGTAAGGCTAATTATTCTTATTAAACTTAATCTAATTTATTTTGTAGCATTCTTAGATCAGATTATAATTATTGTTTTTCTGACATTAAGCCTACTATTTATTATTCATTCACTCCATTTCCAATCATATCTTAAAACTTTTATAAATCATCTTTTCTTTATTATTATAATTCTTCTATTTATTGATTAAGAGCTTAATTAGTTTATTGCAATTGACTGATTTATAATGCTTTTTATGGATCAGTTTAAAATTGAATAGATCCTGAAGATGCCACTGGTTTTGGAATTTGTTCAGATAATATATCTTACAATTACTTTTACATTTATAATAATTAGTCTTAAAGATCTAATTTTGTGGCTTTTAATTCATCGTTTTCCTTTTATAATTCATTTTGTTCATCTAACTAAGTTTACAACAATTCATTTTGTTTTTTAAGATCTTGAATTATTTCTGTTTAATTTCCTTCATCTTTTTAAATGTTTTAAGGACCTACTTATTTTTAACTTGGAAATTATATTGGAATATCTTCTCCATGTTTATTTGCTAATTTCTAATATTCATTCTTCCAAAACTAAGCATTTTCTTATTCTAATTCATTCTTCAAATCTACTATTTACTGTCTATTCTCTTGATCTTTTAATTTTAGATCATTTAATTAATTTTAAAGAGATTCATTTTATTTTTCGTTGATGTCCTTTTATTATTATAAAAGTTTTATATCTCTTTATTAATTATCATTTTAATCTTATAACTAAATCAAATTTTATTTCAATTCTTCTATATTCTCTTAATTTTATTTTTGTTTTATTAAAGAATTTTAATACTATTATTGTAATTCAGATAGTGCTTATTAAGCTTCTTCTTTTGTCATCTTTAAAATATCTTCTTCTTTATGTTAAGGTTGAGAACTTTATTTATGATCTAATAAATCATGATATTTATCATTCCATAATTATGCATCTGTAATAGCATCTTTTAATTTTTATTTAGTTTCAGTAAGTTCTCCAATTAATTAAGGGATTTCAGTTTCGATTTAATGTTATTAGATATGATTTTATTCTTCTAATTCATGAATTTGTTTTGTTTATTATAATAATTTCTCTTATTGTCCATTTGGAGTTAAGTTTTATGATTATAATTCTAAAAGTTCTTAATATTAACCTTTAGCTTTTTCTAATTATTTCTTAAGTAATTCAATTTCATTTTATAATTATTATTGTAGTTGAATTTGTTCATCTTATTTTAGATCATCATGAATATCAATTAGTTATTTAGTCTTTTAGGTTAATTAACTTTGTAAGGCTAATTATTCTTATTAAACTTAATCTAATTTATTTTGTAGCATTCTTAGATCAGATTATAATTATTGTTTTTCTGACATTAAGCCTACTATTTATTATTCATTCACTCCATTTCCAATCATATCTTAAAACTTTTATAAATCATCTTTTCTTTATTATTATAATTCTTCTATTTATTGATTAAGAGCTTAATTAGTTTATTGCAATTGACTGATTTATAATGCTTTTTATGGATCAGTTTAAAATTGAATAGATCCTGAAGATGCCACTGGTTTTGGAATTTGTTCAGATAATATATCTTACAATTACTTTTACATTTATAATAATTAGTCTTAAAGATCTAATTTTGTGGCTTTTAATTCATCGTTTTCCTTTTATAATTCATTTTGTTCATCTAACTAAGTTTACAACAATTCATTTTGTTTTTTAAGATCTTGAATTATTTCTGTTTAATTTCCTTCATCTTTTTAAATGTTTTAAGGACCTACTTATTTTTAACTTGGAAATTATATTGGAATATCTTCTCCATGTTTATTTGCTAATTTCTAATATTCATTCTTCCAAAACTAAGCATTTTCTTATTCTAATTCATTCTTCAAATCTACTATTTACTGTCTATTCTCTTGATCTTTTAATTTTAGATCATTTAATTAATTTTAAAGAGATTCATTTTATTTTTCGTTGATGTCCTTTTATTATTATAAAAGTTTTATATCTCTTTATTAATTATCATTTTAATCTTATAACTAAATCAAATTTTATTTCAATTCTTCTATATTCTCTTAATTTTATTTTTGTTTTATTAAAGAATTTTAATACTATTATTGTAATTCAGATAGTGCTTATTAAGCTTCTTCTTTTGTCATCTTTAAAATATCTTCTTCTTTATGTTAAGGTTGAGAACTTTATTTATGATCTAATAAATCATGATATTTATCATTCCATAATTATGCATCTGTAATAGCATCTTTTAATTTTTATTTAGTTTCAGTAAGTTCTCCAATTAATTAAGGGATTTCAGTTTCGATTTAATGTTATTAGATATGATTTTATTCTTCTAATTCATGAATTTGTTTTGTTTATTATAATAATTTCTCTTATTGTCCATTTGGAGTTAAGTTTTATGATTATAATTCTAAAAGTTCTTAATATTAACCTTTAGCTTTTTCTAATTATTTCTTAAGTAATTCAATTTCATTTTATAATTATTATTGTAGTTGAATTTGTTCATCTTATTTTAGATCATCATGAATATCAATTAGTTATTTAGTCTTTTAGGTTAATTAACTTTGTAAGGCTAATTATTCTTATTAAACTTAATCTAATTTATTTTGTAGCATTCTTAGATCAGATTATAATTATTGTTTTTCTGACATTAAGCCTACTATTTATTATTCATTCACTCCATTTCCAATCATATCTTAAAACTTTTATAAATCATCTTTTCTTTATTATTATAATTCTTCTATTTATTGATTAAGAGCTTAATTAGTTTATTGCAATTGACTGATTTATAATGCTTTTTATGGATCAGTTTAAAATTGAATAGATCCTGAAGATGCCACTGGTTTTGGAATTTGTTCAGATAATATATCTTACAATTACTTTTACATTTATAATAATTAGTCTTAAAGATCTAATTTTGTGGCTTTTAATTCATCGTTTTCCTTTTATAATTCATTTTGTTCATCTAACTAAGTTTACAACAATTCATTTTGTTTTTTAAGATCTTGAATTATTTCTGTTTAATTTCCTTCATCTTTTTAAATGTTTTAAGGACCTACTTATTTTTAACTTGGAAATTATATTGGAATATCTTCTCCATGTTTATTTGCTAATTTCTAATATTCATTCTTCCAAAACTAAGCATTTTCTTATTCTAATTCATTCTTCAAATCTACTATTTACTGTCTATTCTCTTGATCTTTTAATTTTAGATCATTTAATTAATTTTAAAGAGATTCATTTTATTTTTCGTTGATGTCCTTTTATTATTATAAAAGTTTTATATCTCTTTATTAATTATCATTTTAATCTTATAACTAAATCAAATTTTATTTCAATTCTTCTATATTCTCTTAATTTTATTTTTGTTTTATTAAAGAATTTTAATACTATTATTGTAATTCAGATAGTGCTTATTAAGCTTCTTCTTTTGTCATCTTTAAAATATCTTCTTCTTTATGTTAAGGTTGAGAACTTTATTTATGATCTAATAAATCATGATATTTATCATTCCATAATTATGCATCTGTAATAGCATCTTTTAATTTTTATTTAGTTTCAGTAAGTTCTCCAATTAATTAAGGGATTTCAGTTTCGATTTAATGTTATTAGATATGATTTTATTCTTCTAATTCATGAATTTGTTTTGTTTATTATAATAATTTCTCTTATTGTCCATTTGGAGTTAAGTTTTATGATTATAATTCTAAAAGTTCTTAATATTAACCTTTAGCTTTTTCTAATTATTTCTTAAGTAATTCAATTTCATTTTATAATTATTATTGTAGTTGAATTTGTTCATCTTATTTTAGATCATCATGAATATCAATTAGTTATTTAGTCTTTTAGGTTAATTAACTTTGTAAGGCTAATTATTCTTATTAAACTTAATCTAATTTATTTTGTAGCATTCTTAGATCAGATTATAATTATTGTTTTTCTGACATTAAGCCTACTATTTATTATTCATTCACTCCATTTCCAATCATATCTTAAAACTTTTATAAATCATCTTTTCTTTATTATTATAATTCTTCTATTTATTGATTAAGAGCTTAATTAGTTTATTGCAATTGACTGATTTATAATGCTTTTTATGGATCAGTTTAAAATTGAATAGATCCTGAAGATGCCACTGGTTTTGGAATTTGTTCAGATAATATATCTTACAATTACTTTTACATTTATAATAATTAGTCTTAAAGATCTAATTTTGTGGCTTTTAATTCATCGTTTTCCTATTATAATTCATTTTATCCATCTAACTAAGTTTACAATAATTCATTTTATTTTTTAAGATCTTGAATTATTTCTGTTTAATTTCCTTCATCTTTTTAAATGTTTTAAGAACCTACTTATTTTTAACTTGGAAATTATATTGGAATATCTTCTCCATGTTTATTTGCTAATTTCTAATATTCATTCTTCCAAAACTAAGCATTTTCTTATTCTAATTCATTCTTCAAATCTACTATTAATTATCTTTATTTAAAGTCTAAATCTTTTAATTCTTCGATTTAGGCCTTTTATGAATCGTTTTATTATTATTATATCTAATCCTTTTAATTTAGTAAATCTTTTTCTCGTTATAGGCTATCCTATTCATCTTATAATTTCAATAATTAATTTTATTACTAAAGCATAGCTAATTGTGAAGCCTCTAATTATTAATCTTATTATTATTATTTTATTATTAATTATTACAAGGCTTATTGTAATTATTCTTAATTCATTGATTTAATAGCCTATTCATCTATTATTGCTTATGCAAAATTAGGTCTTTCCTCCAATAGTATTTAATGTTTATTTTTCCATAAATTAACTTCCTCCTCAGCATGCTTTAATTTTAATTAGGTTTCTTCAAGTTTTCCCATCATTTATGGTAAATTTTGTTCTATCTAATTTTATAATTTTTGTATTTCTTCTTCCTATTTATGTATTATATTAATTTATTATTAAATCTCCTCTTTTTATCCATTAGGTGTTAATGCTTATGATTAATTTTCAAGTAATTCTTGATATTACTCTTTTTATTGTTCCAGTTGTTTTAGAAGTAGATCTATTTATGTTTAAAGATCCTGTAATTTGATATTAGTATTTTTTGAGTTTTACTCATCATATAAATCCATAAGTTATTGGTTTTTTTCAAGTAATTAACTCTATAAGATTATTTAGGATTATTGTAATTAATCAATTTGATTTTCTAAAATTCTAATTTTTTGCTGTAGCTATTACTTTTCAGATATTAATGATACGATTTATTTTCCTTCAGGTCCAGTTCCAATTATCTTTTCAAAATTCTATAAATCTTCTTTTCTCTCTGCTTCGATATCTGTAAGTTATTTTTTTAATTGTTAATTTTCTTATTATAGTTAGCTTACCTAAAGAGCTTTCGTAGGATCTAGCTATGAATAACTATCTCCTTTTTATGGTAATTAACCAGAAAATAATTAATTCAATGTATTTTGTGCATTTAATAGCTCAGTTTGTAATTATAGTTTGCTTGATTTTAATTGCTCATTTTCTGAAGAAATCTACTGGTATTCATTACTTTATTATTATAAAATTGTTATCTAAGATTATAAAGAATTAATTATTTCGTTATTATTCTTGTCATCATCTTATTATATTTTTCCTTGTTATGGAGGCATTTTAGAAGGATCCTTTATGTCTAATTAGCTGTACAATTTTTGATATTCTTGTTTCCAGAAGTCTCCATTAGATTCAGCTAATTCATTTTTAAGTTTCAAGATTTCTTCATCTTTTGCCTGAATTAATTACATTTACTCATTTAATTCATTTTTATTTTCATTTAATTATTGTTCAGTTAATTATAATTTTTATTCAAGTAAGTTTTTTTGTTTGCTTAAATCACTCATTTCTTCTGAAATTTATGTTTGACGAGTTAAGTTTTACTTTTATTGCTCTATTAATTGTTTTATTTATGCTTCTTAATTTTAATTTTTCATTTATAATTCAGACAAATTTTGATTTTCTTCATTTTATTATTACTCTTGCAATTCTATAGGTTTTTTATTTAATAAATTTTAATATCTTTCATTTAAAAGTTGTGCTTCATTTAATTAATCATTATACTTTAATTAAAACTCTTTTAGCTACCCTTACAATTAAGGAATAGTACTTTCAATTTCCTATTATTTTTCTTAAAGTACCTATTCTAATTCATGGATTAATTTTGCATTTTAAAGAAGTTTTTCCTTCTGTCCATTTGGAGTTAGATTTTAAGATTGAATTTCTAAGATTTCTTAATATTATTCCTTTATTTTATTCAGCTAGGCTTTTAATTATTCTATTTCTTTTTATTTTTCTTATAGGAGGACTTTTTATTCATCCTAAGGCAAAGTTTAATGCAATTCAATTAGTTATTTGTTTTTATCAACTAATTATTCTTATAATTAAATCGACTCTTGCTAAACTTTATCAATTTAGTTTTATAATTATCTGATTTCTGATTAAAAATCTTACTTTTGTCGATATAAGGCAACTATCTATTGCTGATTTACTCCATTTCCAATCATATCTTAAAATTATTTTAGATCTTCTCTCTTTTCATCCTCTATTTAAGAAATTTAATTTTTAAGATTTTAATTTTCTTGAGTTAATTAACTAATTTTTAAGTTTTTTTCAGGATCAGTTTAAAAATGAAGATTTTAATTTTCAATGGTTTCTGATTTAATTTGAACATTTTATAATTTATTGATTTAATTTTATTTCTGTAACAATTAATCCTATAGTTCAAGTTTTTCTTTTCTTAAATTTTCATTCTCTAATCGAAAGTCAGATAACTAAATAATTTCTCTTTCATTCTGCAGCTTTTCGAAATTTAGCTAATTAATTTAATCCTTCAAAGCCTCTACATTCTCGACTTGATTTGCTTCCTAATCTTTGCTTTTTTATGCTTCCTCTTATTCTGCTTTCTATTCGATTATTCTTTGAGATTCTGCATTTTATTTATTTCCTCTTTAGTCATTTTGATTTTCTTTGTAATTTTAAAATTCCTACTTGAGATTTTCTTCTTTTTTTCTATACTCTGCTATCTAATTTTATTAATCTTTAACTTATTCCTATAAAATATTTTGCAACTGTTCAGCTAAATTTTTTTCTCTTTACAAACTATCTATTTCATCTTTTGCTTATTGCAATTTTTATAATTCTATTACAATTTATTCCTTCTCTTATTCTAAATTCTGCATCGTATTTTGAAGTTCTAGATTTTGTTTTTTTAATTATTGTGCTTCAACTTAGGATATTTCTGATTATTCTTCTAACTTTTGGTTCTCAGGTTGTTTCCTCATAAGTAAATCTTAATATCTTTTAGCTTAAATTTGAGCATCATTTTAAGCTGCCTATAACTCTTACAAAGCCTAGGTCAATTACCCTTATAATTTAGGTACTTCTATTTCTAATTCCTATTGAAGATTTAATATCTAATTTTATTAATCATGAATACTAGATTACTACTATAAAACTTTCTCTTTCAATCCATTTGGAGTCATATTTTATTAAGCTGTTTCTAAAAGCTCTAAATATTATTATTTGGCTTATTATAACTAATTTTATAATTAATTAAGTAAATCATCCTATTCTTCTTTTTATTAAATATCAACTTATTATTAATTCTATGCATCTTAAAACTATAACTCTTTTGTTTTTTTTATTAATTCGGCTTATAATACTATGTATTTTTACTATAGCTCATCAATCTAATTTTATTAATCTCTTATTTATTTTTGCAAATCCTACCTATCTGCCATCAAAGCTACTATTTATTATTCTTAAACACCATTACCAATCATATCTTAAAACTCTTTCAAGTCAGCTTATCTTTATTATTCAATTGCTTATATTTCAGTTTTTAATTTTTAATTAACTTATTCTAACTAACTTATCTTTAATATTTTTTCAGAATCGACTTAGATACCCTGTTAACTAATTGGGTTTTAAGATTAAATTCTTTATTAAGAAGTCATATTATTTAATTCTTCTTAAATCTGAATAATTTAATTTTATAATTCTAAATTTCTATTTTTCAAAATGTCAATTTAATGCTATTGAAGATCTTACTTTTTATTTTTTTCGATTAAAATAGGATCACATAATTAAACTTTTAGACTCTCAACTGATTAAGGTTATTAAGGTTGATTTTGCTCCAATGTTTAAATCTACTATTTTAATTTTGTCTTCTCTTCGTTATTTACTTATAACTGTTATATTAAATCTTAAATTTATTTTTCTAACTCTTTATTTTTCAACACTAACTAATTTTATTAAATTTCTAAATTCTGGTTATTCTTTTTTAATTCTGATTATTATTCAATTTATTTTATTGCTTGGTCATGTAACTTTTCTTACTCAAAATCAACTTAATTTTATAGTTTTTGAATTTCTTATTTCAGTAGAACAATTTCAGAAAACTATTCTTAATTCTTTTTAATTTCTTTCAATAGTTTTTACTCTACACTTTCAGGTTATAAGTTTTAATTATTTTTACCAATTTCATCCTCAAACTTTTACTTCCAATACTAAATTTATTCAAGAAATCCTTATTTTTCTTATTCTAATTAACTTAATCTGTCTTAATTGTCTCTAAACTGACTTAATGCATTTTAAAATTCGTCCCTCGATTGTTAAGGAAACAACTCAGAAATTCCTTGTCTTTATTAAGTTTAGATTGAATCTTAAACATTAGGATGGATAATCGAGACCCTTTGAGGAACACTTACATTTGTATTATAAGTATGATGTCTAGTTGGAGAAACTCTAATTGGGCTAATATATTTTATTGGAGTCAAAACTCGAATACTACCATTAGACCTTTCGACAGAATATCTAACAGGGGAACCTCTTAATTTAGTATTATTTCCAATTAATTTTAAATCTTCATTTTTTAGTCTAACTAATGAATTCAACAGAGAAATTTATTTTATTATTGTAGGTACACTATGAAGATCGAGTTAGAGATGCTCAATATGTGTCATTATTTTTGAAAATACTTCTTCAGAGGACAATGATGGAGATTATGATCTTGCTTATAAAGGACTTTAATTATTTAAGATTCTTCTCACTGCTTTAGGTGTTTCATATCTTTTTAAGGCTTCAATATCTTGATTTAATGATGTCAAATAAATTTAGAGTTACTAAATCTCTACTTCATAGTCATCTTGATCCTTATCTATTTTTTATAAAAGTTTATTATGAGAATTTATTAATTCTGCCAACATAGTTAAAGCATTAGCATATTTATTCTGAATCAAATTACCATTTCTATATTAGGAAATTCCATTTTGAAGATTGCTTAAAGCATTTTATATATGTTCTGGTAATTGCTCATTCTTTGAAAAAGATGGTTAATCTAACTTTTTTATAGATGAACCTTCCTATTTGATTTCAAGTTGATTAAGGCCTAATAAATAAGATAATTTAGACTCAAGTAATTTATTTTCTTCTTATAACTTTTTTATCTCTTCCAATTTATTCGATTGATCCTAAATTAAAAATCTTAAATACTTTATTTATGTTTTCCTATTGATTCGCCTATCTTAAATAAGAATTTAATTTCTCTCTTGCTAATTTTTCCTTTTGTTGTAATTCATTAATTTCTTATTTTTAACTTGATATTTCAAGAAGTAATACTTATTCTCTTTCCTGATGTTATTATCTTCATTAAATAAAATCATACATATTGTTTTTCATAGCGTTTCTTTTTCTATCTAATTCAAGTAATACACAATTTAATCTTTGTATTTCAAATCCCATTAAGACTTTTTCCATCTTCATACTAATTAAACTATCCAAAAGAGTCTGTTATTAAGATGTTTAAGGAACAACTTAAATGATTGGTGAAACAGCTCTTTAAGGAGAACGCATTTAAAATGGTTATGGATTTTATATTGATCTTCCTCTCATTTCAAATTTCAAATTTATTTAATATTAATATCTGATCGTTATTGTTTCCTACAAAACCAAAAACAAAGGATTCCACAGATACTGAATAAATAATGCCTGATTTTAGGTGAAGCAACGACTTAGCTATATGAAGGATATAAACTTTAAACATATAATAATAATAAGACTTAAACTCATTTTCATTCACCTTGCTGGATGAAAATATTTAATAATTTAAATATAGCGAGGCTTTTGAATTTAAAGTAACTTAGACCTCTCCATAAAATATACACAGAACTAGGTAGAATGTATATGTCAGATTATAAAATGTTTCTACACAATTAATCGGTTTCGATAAAATGATAAAGTTCGAATACCACTTCTGAATTCTTGTAAATCATCTATAGTATCATTCTATAGAGCCAAGTATCCGTAATCTGATATCTAGACGTCGGCTCCAAATTTCCTTGCACATAACCAGATTTAACCCTAGAAATTTTGAGTTATAGTTGGTTTATTTTGCATATCTATTTATTTTCTAAATTTTTACATTATAATGCCTTACCTGGCTACTTCTATGAATATGTTCCTCATCAACATACTTTTCAATCTTTATTTCCCAATAGTGTCTTTCTGATTTCAATGCCAGAGTTCCCAAAACATTTTGATAATCTGATTATCGTTTTTTATTTGCTAAAAATTGTTGTTTGGCGGTGCCAAACTTGAACCTTTTTTAATTGGATCCCATGTTAAGTTCATTTCTGCTAAAAATAACAGTAAGGAAAAATCTTTTAAACCTACTTCTGATAGTTTAATTTCTGTCTCCTTCAGTTCGTTTAGTCAATCATTGGATGAATAAGCTTAATATTCTGAAGCATTTTTTATTTTATCCAATCACATCAATAAAAAAAGATCTTAGATACTCAAACGTAAGAGTGATATGAAGAATTGCTAAATAGAAATACCTTTAACCAAAAAAAGTTTTACCAAGAGAATATCACATATTACATATAACTTTTACCATTCTTGTAATCTGGCCTAATGAAAAATCAACTGTAACTAGTCTCTAATCATTAGAATAATGATATGATATTTATATTAAGTTTCTAATTTCCTGGCGAAAACTAATGAGTCTTTAAAATCACAAGTTAATTTTTTCAAAATTGGAGCTTTTTTACTTTATGTTAATTTTCAACTGAGCGTTATTAAAAAGAAAGAGAGTTTGAAAAATGTAAAGGATCCTCTACCATTTAAATTTAACTTTCGGCTTAAGGATATTGAGAAGATTATCGGGCTTGGTTTTTAAAGAAGTGGCAAATTAGGTTAAGCCTCGGGCACTTCGTTTAGTGAACTATAATTTTAAAATGTCAACCTAGAATTGAATTTACTTTTCTGATTTATTATTTTATTATTTCTCAACTTATTTTCTAATATTTCATCTTATTTTGGTTCATTTTCTTTCCTTATTTTTTATTTATGAAGGTACTGGTGAAATTATACAAGAATAGATTGAATTCTCTTTTGATTGCTCCTTTTTTCATCTCAGATTATTCCTGCATTAATTCACATTAGGTCAAGCCATGATTTAATTAAATTTTCTCTTCAGCTATTAATTATTTCGAAGAGATCTAAAAGGGAGTTTTATTATTAATCCAATCCTGCAATCGTGTTTACAATTTTTTTTTTAATTTCGAAAGACTTTTAAGATAAATATTGTGATACAATCCATTTTTTCTTTTCAACTTTTTTTTTAAAATTATCTCTAAACTTAGAAGTTTCATCAACGCACTAATGATTTTTATTGAATAGACAAAAAATATAAAAATTTTTAACCTTTGTATTAATTGAATTAGAAGGATTATATCTATTATAAAAAAATGCTTGTGAAAAAAATCATTAATTTTAGCAGTTAAAACATAAATCTCTAATTCTTTCATCCTCAGAAATACAATAATCATGACCGATTAGACTTCGACATTATTAACAATAAATCATTTAATCATCATTTTCATTGCAGAGGCAAACTTAGCAAACTTCAGAAAATGAAGCACTTTCTATACTTTAAGAAGGTGTGTTTAAATAGTTTTCCTAAAATATACTTTCCTCTTAATCCGAACCACTTGATTAACCTTGGTTACTTTTCTTTTCTTAAAAATTCTCTGATCTTCGAATCCAAACTAAAATTCCATCTTAATTACAATATAAATCATACTAAAAATTATGAATGTAATACATATTAAAATGGTTATCTACATATTGGGCACTATAATTTTTTGATCACAATCATTAATTAATCAAAACATATTTAACAAAAAAGATGTTTACATTAAAGTTAGGATAAAGGGGAGGTTAGTTCTTCTAAACATATAGTGCATAATTGCTTATTGGGAGAGCAATTTTTTTGTTACGAGTTATTTTAATTTTACGAAAGATATAATTTGGAAGATTAATTCTCTAATTCTTCATCTTCAATGATTTTCCTATTCCTTCTTTTGTTATGCATATAATTATGATTTAAAATTCTAAGTTATGAAAAAATAAAATTACTAATTTTAATTAAGTGCTCTAAAAATATTATTTATAAATGAAATTTAGTGCGTCTTTTATGATTTGAAGTGTATTCATAACGTGTATTTTTACTCTTGAAAAAGTAAATTGCTTTATCACCCTACTATTACAAATCCTATAGACAATGAAGAAAAACACAATTAATTAATCATATTTATGCAAAAATATTATACTTCTTTAACATTGAAAAAATATAAAATAGGTACTCAGATGTATTTTTAACATTTCCTATATAAAAAATAAGTTAATTTTAATATTTTTTTCTAAACCATCATATTCAATCTTCAATTAAATATATAAATTTACGAGATGCTTCTTCTATAAAAAAATCCGGTAATTATTAATAAATATTTAATATATTCATTAACATTTCCGGTATAGTCTAGTGGTTAGGATATCAGGTTTTCACCCTGGGGACCCGGGTTCAATCCCCGGTATCGGAAAAATTTTTTATTGCCTGTTCAATAAAAAATAATTTAAAAATTATAATAAAATTTTTTCCAACCAAATGTTTTAAGTTTACATAATGAAATTAACAACTACAATTTTGTAAATCTAAGTTCAATAAGTGAGGTCTAATTAAATAAAACTTTTTTTCTTCTATCGATTGGCAATTAAGTTTTTTTCAAATATATAAAATAGAAAATATTATCAAATAGTCCCAATAAAATGATATTTTGAATATACGGAAGATTTACAATTCAAAAAAAATAGAATGGCTCTTTTGATTCTTCATTTTAATTTTTATTTGGAGTATAAACTATGTCGCTAAAAACTGCTAATTTTATAGAACAACAATGAAATTAATTTTTATGATAAAGTGATATTTGCTAAAGAATTATTTAAAACAATGCCCTATCAAAGCACTTTCATTTTAATATATTATGATTGCCTTTTTAAATACTGATAATCTAGCAGTAAAATCAGTTTATCATAATATTTTTAAAATTCAATTATCCAATTTGGATTCTAAATAATTTGCTAAAACAACTCTTCTGTTATATTTGACTTATTATTCCCAGAAATAACTCAGTACTATTTATTTTATTTTGCACATTATAAAAATTTTAATTTTACAACAATATAAATTAATTCTTTAATTATATACAATTAAGTAAAAATAAGACTAAATTGAAATAGAATTTATTATAGCTAAACCTTATACTCAATTTAAAATGTAAGACAGACAAAATTTATTTTGCTAATAGGTTAGAATTTTTCAACAGCCTTTGTAATTTATTTTTATTTTAGGAATTAATTTCCATTTTAGAAAGTTTTAAATTATAAAATTTATATTGTAAGTAAACTATTATATATAATATTTGTGAATTATCTGTAATTATATAAGATTATAATTATAATAGAGACCCTATATTATTAAACCTTCATTTACTTTTGCTATAGTGATCCTACTTCGAGCGATTTATATGCTCTGATTGATTTTAAGAAATTTTTATTAAATAAATCTTAAACTTAATTGATATTGACATCTATAGTGCGAATATACTGCTATGGAAAATATTTTATTAAAATTCTAAATTATCTGATTATTCATTTCCTATGTTAGTTTATAAAAAAATCTAACTTAGAAAATCTTAAACAGCAGAAGAAGAATACATATTTTTTCTTGATTACATTTTTTGTTTCTTGATTTCTCAACTATTCTCTCCATAATATTATTTATTAAACTTTTTCATAAAATAATTTAATTTATGGCACAAGAAACAGTTGATTTGTGTTGCAATATAAGCTTTGAAATTGATATACATCCACTTGTGATAATCTAAATATTAGACTTACATTATAGAAAATTTGGTGCTTCTAGATAGGAAGAGACGATTGTAGGTGGTGCATTATTAGGAACAGTCTATACTAATAAGATTCATATCACAGAATGTTTTGCACTATTAGTCGATCCAGGAGATGAAATCAATGTATTTTTTGAATCTTTCTTTTAGTAGTACACATTTGATTTTGGTGATGCAAAAGATTTATATCTAAGCCATATATAAGCAAACCCATAAGAAGTCTTATTAGGTGGGTTTGTTACAACTAAAAATTTATCATTAGATATAGGTGTTGCTTATCTTTCAACTGAGTTTAGTAAAAAGGAGAATGGCTTTAATGCTACAGCGGTATTAGGCTAGCCAATAATTCTCAAAGTTAATCCAACATTAAATTCAGGCAAAATCGAAATGAAAGTATTTTTTTCAAGTATTCAGGCATTTAAACTTAATCAATCACTAAAGCATTATGCAGCTGTTGCTTCCTTTAATACAATGCCAATTAAGATTTCCTTTTCAGATGAAAATTTGTAATAAGTCTGGCCATTTTTAGCCCCTAATTTATTATAAAAAGATTTTAAAATAGTAAATACAGCTAATCCTTCTTAGCTTGTCTCTGATAACATAAAAAATCTAGAAAAAATACTTTCCTATTTGGAAAAAGTTATTGTAAGAAATTTTTTATCCTAGGCTGGTAATGAAGTAGGAGATTAAGAATTTGGAAGAAAACTCTTATCTACTTTGAATCAAATAGATTTAATTAAAAATGAGTCAGAAGTTCTATTAAGTCAGGTTGAAGAAGCTTCATTATTTTAATATATTGGAAATTTTGCTTAAGGACAAGCATTTATTAATGAAAAAATTTAAAAGATGTGATATGATATTTTTATATAAATAAGAAAATTGACTATATTTTAATTCTTTTTATTTTTAT